ACTAAGAGATCATTTTAGGCGGTGAGAACTGCAAGAAACTGGTGTGGATACAGTAAGATCGTTCCTATACTGAACAAAAGTGTTTTTCGGTAGATGGTAGTTCATGAAAGTAAAGACAAGGAAAGGTGGGAGAACAGCTCTTTAAGGCACACCAAATATGATTATTAAACGAGTGGAATACTTCTCTTCAATTATTGTATACTGTTCTCTTGTAGCCAAAATAAGAACACACAGTTAATCCTTAATTTCCCAATGTTTAGACTAGGAAACTTGTTTAATGGTAGATTCCTTGGGACAAAGTCAAAGACAAAACTTTAGCCTAGAAAATTGCATCGAATATAGGTGTAGCGTTTTTCAAACTGTTGCTTTGGACTAGGTTGTACATAACGGGAGTAAGATATATCGAGTTCTGTAAACATTATATGTGAAAAAGTTTGATAAGTATTACCCACTTGTGATACAGTTTATTTGGTTACCCTCATTCTAATGAAATAAATTAGTTTTGATAGTGTAACAAATGAATGAATCTCACCAGGAATATATAAGATCTGTTCAACTTGTAACACATCAACGTCAATGATGACACTTGTGAGATATTGGAATATGTGTCTAATGTCAGTACGTAGCAGTACAATCTGTTTTATTTCATAACTGTAGACAATAAATAACGTACACAAGTGATAGGTATCGTCATTTACGACATATATTTGAGACATCGAACATATTTCAGAAGTACTGAAATGAAAGAAATATTAACTGATACAATCTTCTCTAGAAGGACCTACCGGCTTCATCAGCTACTTTTGAGTGGAAGGGGCAACTGATAAAATCCATGAACTTAAATTGAAAGATATAGCTTGAAAATGAAGTATGAATGCGTGGTCACTATAACATATGTTATGGAAAGTTAGATAAAAGAAACACCATGATGACCAAGTAAACATTTGCACCATTGACACAATGGTTTTTTGATGGCTGTACAGAAAACTAAAAGTAACGCTGTCTAGAAAATATTCACAAGTCAAGTAAACTCTCAGGAGGGAAATTTTTCAAGGAATATAACTTAAACAAATAGTAACAATGATCTAACGAGGTAACAGATGTACATAAACAACATACGATATAATAAAAATATGTATTAGCTCAAGCTGTCACACTCTATTGCCAGTTGGCACAGTAAAATAACGAAGCAACAAGGTGGGAAACAAAGAAATGAACGGAGTAATGAAAGTATACGTATTTTGAGAAATTTACGAGGGGTCGGATGTTTAATAAGTACTTGCCTCAGGTCTGAGAAAAATTCTACCTTCCAAAAAATTTCCTCTAAAAGTTTATAATTCTCCGAAATTTCAGATGATAGTAAAAAAAAATGAAACCAGGAAATATTGTTCAAACGAGATAAATGAATCGACCGACTGAGAAATATATGAGATAATATGAAAGCTCAGGATTCATAGGAACATAAATAATGAATGTATCTCTATATTACTATTATCGATTTCAAGTCATATCACCTTTAATTTATAACTATTTAACATTTACGTTGTTTCATACTGTTCAAACAAGCAGTCAATGTCTTACTAAACTTATGCTACATTTGATCCCAGGATTCTTAGATCTTTTACAAATCCCTACCTACGTTAATCAATATATTATACAAAGGTAGACGAATTTTAAGTACATCTAAAGCGTGTTCTAGCTATCTTAGTTGATAAACTTCCACAGGGTCCATCAACCAATGTACCTATATTTATCCAGTATTCTTTATCTTAACTTGGAATTACACAAATTTAGTAACTTGAAAACAAGCGTATAGTGTTTTTGAGTCACCTGTGATTGAATAACAACCTATATACATGCTTGCAACCGTTATAAGATTCGTTTTACAACTACTAAGCGAGGCAAAGAGGACTACTAAACAGTACCCTCACCTCTTGATAATAGCAGGACAACATTTAACCTGTTGTATAAGTAAAGTAAATTAGTAAGAGCTATGAAAAATTTTCGTATTTGTTCTAGGGTTTCAACTAAATTTTAGTAAAGGGAATGACAAATCTGACATTTTAATTTTAAAAAATATCAGTAGGGTGAGAGAATATTGTAGATGTAATTGTACGTATCCTTACTAGTGATCATTTTCGTGAATAATTCGCGAAGTTTTAGTGTGGAAGCCGTGGTAGGTGAAATAATACAGATGTCGTCAACGGTAATCGAGCATCGACTGAAGCTAGTAATGTGAAACACTGGATGAGAAACAAGTGAACTGAATGTCTGTACGCACTGACCATGAAGCCTAAATGCTGTGTATTCAAATTATGGCGGAATTGTGAGTATTGTTGAGGAATCTCGTATATTAAAACTAAGCATCTTTTCAAAGAATTGTGGTTCTCAACGAATTATCTAGTTCAAGTGGTGAACCATAAAGTAAATGGAGTCGAGAAATAGTAGACCTTTATTCAGTCGCTACATGCTGCTCAGTGTGAGTCTTCGTTAAATGGAGTAGCTAAGACATGTGTTACGCACACAGAACCACTGCCTATCTTATTAAACATCACTTGCTGGTGTAAAAGTACTTTGGAAGAAAACTATCAGCAGCTAAATCAAAACGTGGCATCAGTCCACGAAAACAGAACGAAAATAAATATGATCAGAGCCAAGTAGACAATGAAGTCGTTAATACTGTTTTACCGTGTAGCTGAGATATTACGGCTACTAGATAAAAAAGCACAGTTATTCAGCTTTTCACGCTCCATTGTGTGAAGACATTGAGCAGGACTTTTCTAAAAGAGACTATGAATGTGCTTCAAGAGGAGCAATAAACATTGGTGAATAATTCTTAAGGACTTAAAACTCTATTGCGTAGTCCAAACAACAGTCTGACTTCACATTATTTTCATAAAAACCATGTATTGTACATGCCAAACAAACACATCGTGTTGGATATGAAGAAGTTAATGACCGAAGACAGTGGAAGATAGTTACTCAGTACGCGGATTGATTGGAGTCACATTTGTACACCATTGGACTCTGAATCACTGGTTTAGAGGTTACGCTTTCGAGAAGCCGAATGTCCTGGGCACGCACTGGTGGGTCCCATATTAGGACGAAGCGGCGTTCGGTGCTTCTAGATTTTCAATGATTGTCCAATTTCGATCAGTTCGTGATCCTAATAAAATTCAACAATTTCTGCAATCCTCATAGATATGGGAAAACGTTTGAAACTGACTTTTATAGAAAAGTCCGATAAATTTGTATAAACAAGCTTTAGAGAGAATAATTAAAAAGCTAGATATCAGTGGTTCTAGACCAAAGGGTTGATGAGAGCAAATTTAACACAATTGTGTAGATAAATGAATATCTTATTACTACAATTTTTTCCTATTTATGTTCGTTCTAATATACTTTTCTCTTTACATGATCTTTCCAATAGAGGCATGTTAAAACATATGAGAATATTACACCTGTCCAGATTTGTTTACTTCATCTTGAACTAATTTATTATCATCTAGATGCCAAGTTGAATTAAGTGAGAGGAGTTGTAAACAAATATTGAACGGCTAAAAGTTCAACTAGGTATGGATCTGATAGTTCCTAGGTACAAACAAGAAAGTAGTGTACGTCAAACTAAAATAAGTGTTATTTTGTCAGAGAACTAGAAATATTCCGTTCACCAACTAACCAGCTTGGAAAAGGAGGATCTTAATAAGGAAACTACTCAGCCAATCTAGACTGAAACTGAATCAAGAAGGTAGGGTACAGTTAAAACTTTCTATTATGGCACCATCCCATGCAATTAATACTTAATTTCAAATTCCTTCAGTAATTTGTCGTAGTTTTGTGGAGTTTAAAGAGTCTTGAATTTTTAAACATTTGGTTTTCGGGAGCTGTTATCCAATGAGATATCGGACAATACAATAATTAATGAATATGTGCACTCGAACTTTGGACATCGATACAGAATCTAGAAAAGATACACATCCAGATAAACTACGTGAGATCTCACTGATGCTATGCTAAATAACCTTCTTAAATAATCACGTTCCGGAGTTTAACAGAAGAGCAGTTTCAGTTATCAACAAATCTAACAAAACGAAAACTCTCCTCTGAAAATCTACCCCATACTTAGAGAAAAATGACAGTGAAGTTAGTATTCATTTCAATTCCTTACTGATGGCACGGACGCCTACATGTTTATTGACAATTTCGAAAATTAAATTAGTTTTCTTTTTAAAACTGTTATTTATAATCAATGCACAGTCTGACACAAATATGGTGGCTTAAGTCACCATACTGTATTGGTACGGTAGAGACCAAAATAATTGTGCATATGTATCTGGTGCCTTTTTGCACCAATATTTATGTGTTCAAATAATAATAAAAAGAATCTAAACCAAATAGTCTGCATCTGCCAACATAACGGAAAAATTCATCCAGATAGCTCATTTTTAAGATACCACCAATGAGTTTCAACAGAATGGATAGAACTAGATATAACCTAGTTCATATTTATAGCCAAATAAATAGTGAGTAGGAGAGATTCTGAGAACAGATACTTGTTTCGATAAACTAGTCATAACACCTTACTTTGACAAGACATCATAGACTTTAAGCAATAAATATAAAAAATTATAAACACTAATAAAGCATTTGTCGAAGCGTACGAAAATTGGAACCGCCTAACAAAAACTACACTGTATTCTTTACTCGTATGTAAATATGCTTGGACATAGTGATAAATTGGGAATTATGTACTGGGCTTAAGGTGAGAGGAATAGGAAATAAGTACCGTTTTTACAAACAAACGGCTTGGGTAAACGCAAATAAAACTAAGTAACACACTGCTGAAATCTAAGCTGCAGAAACTACACATACCAATGGGAACCTCAGGATCTAATACGGATTCATCTTCACCAGAATCCCAAATAGACTCATCGTTCATTGGATTAGTCATATTTATTCCAGAAACTGGAACACAACAGCATAAAATATCAGTAGTTAAACAGAAACTATATTTATGAAGGGATACAGCTTAGAGTTTATTTTTTAAAATGTACAATCACACAATATAAAGAATGGGGAAGTAACTGAATAACACCTCAGACTATAAAACGAGGACATGACTTTAAAAAATTAAAAGTACCAGCTGTATATTCTACGTTAACATAACTAGTTTTATGAAATAGGGCATTTACATATAAGAATGAAACGGTTGAACACACAAGATCATGAGTAATGAGCTTATATAAAATCTAAATGTACTCGTAATACAATTCATTTATAATCGACAGTATTTAGGAATGATTATCAAATCCAATGGTCTATCGTCAAGTTGATGTTTTTTTCAAAATGATATTTTCTCACTCAATGTCATCTAAGAATTGATAACCAATGGAAGCTACTCACATTTAAATACAGAATTCACCTAAAACAACAAGCGCTATTCGAGAGATACTAAAAATTTTAAGTTATGCCCTAATATTTAATGGACTACGTTAAAAGTCCTCGGAAAACAGTCTTCTGCATCGGGATTAACAGACAAGCAGTTGATAAGACACAGTTTACATAAATTCTTGGGATTAAAAAAACTAAGGTAATTTTATTACATTCATCCATTATTACTTATTCATTCAAGTACTGTTGAAAGATAATGGGTAAACTTTTCCCATCACTGACATTTCAGTTATCTAGTTTACTCAGTTTAGCTTGGACTAAAGTAATTTCACAATATCTACGATTGGTTGAAATATATTTATTCAGCTATCATGATACAAAAACACTAGACTGTTCATTTTTATCTACAACAAGCGGATTTTGTTTGTTTGATGTAACGAACACCTAGGATGGAAGTGTTAGTTGTTCAAAAACCTCCGCTATTACATCGACATTCTGAACCGATCTGTGGTAGACAGTCACTGATAACCTGGAGGCACTGGACTACCGTTTAATTCTGGTATGGGACTCATCAGTGAGCACCCACGATCTCGCAACCAGGGATAAAACCCAAGACATTCGGTTTCGTGCACGATAGTGAGACGTCTAGAACAGTGATTTGGAGTTCAATGGTGTATAGATCTGATTTCAACAAACCCGTGATACTGTGTAACTATTTTTCACTGTTTTCGGTGGGTAACCTCCTCACATCCGACATGGTCGAACTACACTGGTTACGGTTTCTCACTAAAACGCTGAGAACTTCCTTTAAAGCTGGTCACTAGTGAATGCATGGTATTTCGTAGAAAAATATTTAGAAGGTAGGCAAAAATAGGACTACGACTACTTTAAAGAAGTTAAATCATCATCATCACTAAACAACAACAGCACAAAAAAGTTAGGCAAAAACAATCACAGCATAAAACTATGACTCAATGGACAAGAACAAATACAAATAAATAATTAGAAATTTTTATTTTGAAATAGGAAAAGCCTATACAGTGCATTAAGCACTCTTTTTAATAACTCAACATATACATATACGTTCGAGTATAAAAAAGTAGATGGAAACATCTTTTACAAAAAAAATTGTTACTATTACTATATTGAAAAAAAGTATAAAACGTAAAGGGTAGTTGAAATGGAACGAGTACAAACACACACAAAACTTTCTGAACAAGCAAACATAGAGAGAGATAACATCTCAAAAAGGAAACATTAGTCTTATAGATATCAAAAAGGTGTTTTACCTTTGTGTGTGTGTGTACTCGCACACACACACACAAACATGGTCGCATCATATACACAAAAAAGAACAGGTAGCTGCCAGAAGAATGCAAAATAAGATAACATTAGGAATCAGTTTCCTGTGAATAAGTAAACAAAGACGATTAAATGAAAAAGAAAGAAATGAGAATAAGATGTAGAAAACATGTACAAACATGAAGATGGCATTACAGTAAATAAATATTTATGTATATATGTGTTGTTTGAATGACAATTAAAGCTAATACGTATTATATGTATAAATCCTAAGTACATAGGACAAAATTAATTAACGAATCATACAATAATAAATGTTCGCACAATTGAATGCGCCACAAAAAACTCCTATAATCATAACCAAAGGGAGGAGGGATAGGGAGACAAGTAAATATATATATATATTCCTAAAACATACACACACAAAAAAATGCAAAAGCATTGTCATCATCTGGAATAGTCATAGTAAATAAGTAAGCCGGAATAAGTGATTGAGACCAAAATCCAATCGAAACAAAAATAAACTTATCCTATATACTAAAGAAAACGTAAATATACACACACACATAGGAAAAAAAAATCATAACTACATCTTAGGTTGGAAAAAAAGTTAATTGAACTAATATTTGTTGAGTAGAAGTAGAAAAAATGTTATAAGATCATCAATCATAATATGTGCGGAACACAAACAAGCCTGAGTTAATCATAACAACAACAACACTAACAACAACGAGGACAGCAACCGGCTATTACGTAATAGTAGTAATAGAAAAATATTTTTTGATAATATAATAATATACACTGTTCATAGAATTAGATAGAAGAAAAATACAACTAAACAAGTCAGTCAGTCATTCATTTAACTATACTTTGCACTTCTGACAATTTTAAAGCAAAAAAATAAGAGCTAAGATACCATACTATAAAAAAATTAAAAAGAATAGTAGTAGTCATAATAACCATAAATGGACAATTAAAAAAAATCCTACCTAAAGAATAATAGCGATTACATTATGTTCTCTTGCCAATATAAATGAGCTTTTGAACTTGACTACGCTTATCTTTTTTTTACATCATACATTAAACCACACAGTTGAATGATAAACCAGAATAGAAAACAATCATAATTAAACAGATAAACAATTGTTAATAAACAAGAAAGTTGTTGAATACCTCTTTATACACACATACATATATGGTACACATTTGTATTGTTGAAAAAACATAATCTAATAAGAATAATACTAGTAATAATGATGATAATATGAGACTGCTCTTTATCATCATTTTTTTTTTAGAAATTCATCATCAATGTGAAGAAGGCACATATTTTTAACATTTTGTTATTACACAATTGACGAGATAATATGCATGGCACATACGTATATATATACATGTACATGAACAGGCTACAAAACAACCGATTATAGCTGAAGAGAAAGCACACACATATATGTATATATTATAGTGAAAGAGCAGAAAAGACGAGAAAAAAAACACTACTAGGAACCAAGCAGATGAACGTCCCCTGAGGATAGTTAGCTGTTCAATGGAAAATTGATATTCAATAAATGAATAACGATAAAGGGGGGAGTGGAAGGAACATTTGTATACACTACAGAAATACAAATAGTTTATAAAATTTATAAAGATCACATTGTCTTTAATAATTACACATAGTTGTACGTATGTAAGTTTATAGACAAATATGTAAACCCTGGGAGTTTGTAAAATATAGAAATTTTTTTTTTTTGTAAAAATACAAAACAATCAAAATGGTGTTGAGGTTTTACATGATTGAATAACTGCACAAAACACACAGGAAAGATGAAAAGTGGAGAGAAAAAAATTGAGCATCCTTCTAAGGAGAGAAGAAACGTACACATAGACATACTTATTATGTGATTTCATTGTAAAAAAGGAAATTAAAAATCCGGAAAAATAATTTATATAGCCTATATGGAAATATCTGTAAATAAAAATGCATTGATTTACACACACACACACACACATAGAGGGGAGGAGTATCCACATTGGGAAACAAGAGTGTATGCAGCATTGAATTTTTTTGCACTATGAATTAGATGTTGAAGAGAACATCTGAAGAAGACGTGGAATAATTGGTTGTGACTTATTAATATGACAATTAACTAATTTAGAGTCAGGTAAAAGAGATGTTGTTGAAGCATTCGATGGAGATGATAATGGTTGTGTATTGGTAATGTGATTATTATTCACTGATGTATTGTTAATTGCATTTAATTCTTGTACATGTTTATCATAAATTAACATTAATTGACGTAAATGACTAGATGATAATAAGCCATAATCAACAAGATTCACTAAATGTAACAATAGATTAGTACGTAGACGTCGTCTATGAATCCATCGACTATGCTGATGTATAAATTGACAGACTAATGTTAATACTTGACCATCACAAACTACTAAACCAGATGGACGAATTGATAGTAGTAAAGCATTCCACAATTGCATAATTTGTTTTTCACCCTGATTAAATAAATATACGATATAAAAGAGGAATAAAGAATTCCACGTTTAACTAACAATGAGATTTAGATGAGAAAATTCACACTGGTTTTTCTCAGAGCAATTTACAATTTAAATATTTTGAAAGGGTTCATTAAATTATTGCTTGAATATCCAGCAATAATTTTTGCATAAACGATTTAGAACTCGTATTTAAACAAATAATAATTCATCGAACAATTTATATCACTATTGAGAGGACGGAAAGCGAATGTCAGGCGATTTAACCGGGTTGGTGGACACGGAAAGTTCACCTTGGGTAGTTGAAAAACCTTGATTCCAAAACAATGGTGCACATGGGCTCCAGGATCCTGAGGGAACAAATGGCGTATGAACCAATTGTTGGTTACCGGCTATCATGGAACTACATCTACTTACGTTGCTCCATTGCCTTGTGGACCAGACAAGTAGGTCAAAGTCTCCGGGTGTGGCCGCCTAAGAAAACCACCTGCTTTGGTTCGGGCACCTGGGCAATATCACAGCTCTCACACAAATTAAATGAGATTTGTGGGGCGCATATATATGTGGTGCTTCCTTGTACCAATATTCATGTGTTTAAATAAAATAAAATAATAAATATCACTACCCTTAGCAAACAATACACGAACAGCGTCGAAACGATGGTAACTAATTACAGTTCAAGGGAACAATTTTATTGTTGAGTTATGTGAATGAGATGGTTTAAATTACAGAGTTCTTCTTACTGTCATTCCAGACACAATATCATTGCTGCCTACTTCATAGAAAAGTGAGCTTCTCAGTTATTTCATAATGTTTACAGCAGTTTTTTTTTATATTCTTGTTTGCGATTTGGGTGTGTTCGTAAAATTCGTTGCCTTCATTTATCATTTAGGTTAAAGGCTTTTGGTGTGGCCTCCTAAGAAAACCCACCTGCTTCGGTTTGAGCACCCTGGCAGTATCATAGCTCACACACAAAATAAAGTGGCTTGTGTGGCGCATATGCATTCGGTGCCTCTTTGTACCAATATTTATATGTTCAAATAAATGAATAAATAAAAACATGCACTGATATTAGTGATAGCATAACTTCGCTTAATTGCTACTTTGAAATTCGCGTATCTGAATGTGAAGCGTGGATCAAAAATACGGTGACAGATTAAGCGAACAAGATAGTCAACTGATATAACAGGACAAATGAAGACAACCAAATGCGTCAGAGCGAATTGATTTAACAGTTGAGGAATGACTGAGCTCACTTTTAAATGAAATAGGCGCAGTCGTTATCCAGTTCTGAAATTTAATGACGCATCTAACCACAATTAAAATGTGTAGTGAACACAAACACCAGTAGGGACAATCGAATGTATTGAAACTCAAAATTACAGAACGTCTTAGTAAAATCTGAGAATCATGCAGTAAATACTTCATCTGCAAAATACCAATCGATTGTCTCAAACTTGTCTGTTTCTTTTGCAAACATCAGTCAATCGTCTCAGATTTCATTGTTCCTGCATTTTCATGCCGATTGCTTTCCGATTTCGTTCTTTCTTTCTCGATCTTCTACTGAAATACATTCTATTCCTGGCTATCGTTGTATACCACTTATGTGGATAAAAATAACTCACACAACAAATGCACCAATTACACATTACATTCGTTTTCATCACAACATCAACACACGCAGTACCGAAATAACAATATTTTGGCGTCAAAACTTGTTAGTGCTTTGTACTTATAGTACAGGTATCTCAAATTCTATACAGACAGTGAGACAATAGAGCAATTGGTGTGAAAATGTAGTCATAAATTCATACCAAGCTATACAAAAAAATATAAGCAGTCCGGAATGGCTTAATAATAGTAGTGTGTTTCCCCCACTTTCTGTCTAATATAGATTTATTACAATAGTTTTAGGCAGAAAACACTTTGAAGACATAGACACACACAGAGAGGAAGTGAAAAAAAACACTGACCTGATTCACATCGGTGAACTCCTCCACTTTACGTTGATAATGTTGACGAAGCCAGACTGGAGCATCTTCCGCTTCAGAGTCCACATCAAATTCACAAGCACGAACAGGCTGGGATGTACGCGTATGATAATAAATACGATTATGTCCAGTGACCATAGGTCGTACTGATAATGTAGGATCAAGTAACTAGATACACACACGTGTGTGGGGGGAAGAAATGAGCGAAAAACAAAGAAAAAACATTAAATTAGGAACACTAGAGAATAGCACAGATATTGTTTTGGAAAATAACAAAATAATAAACTTTACGGAAACTGGTCTGACTAAAATACTATATATAGGAAATATATTGACGCAATGTGTGTTGACACGAGAATGCTTTAGGTAAGGTTCAATTGTTTCCTGATGTTATTGATTATAATGATTCATTAACCTACTACTGAGTCCAAATATAAAGTCACTAACTTTTCCAAGTTATGAGGGTATTAGTAAGAAATACCAACAGTTAATCACATGAAGACAAGAACTCTTTATGTAGAATAACAGGTTGCCTTCAAATGACCTGGTACGGCTGAGGAAGCAGAGAGTCAACTCTCCCTCTCGAAATGCTCTCACATAGACATGCGTATACAACCACTACCAGGAAAGTCCTACTCACCGCCTTGTCGCAGTGAAAGTGTTGGTTACAAAACTGAGATGAAAAGCAAATGTCCGGTGCTTTAATCGGTGGACACGGAGGGTCTACCTAAGAAAGTCAGAAAACCCTGTTTCCGCACCAATGATGCACATGGGTTAAAAGATCCTGATGGATAAAGGGCGTATGGACCTATTCTTGGTCACCGGCTACCATGGGGATGGCATCTGGCAACGTTGCTCCACTGCCTTGTGGATTAGACCCTTAGATCAAAGGCTCCGGGTGTGGCACCCTAAGAAAACCACCTGCTTCGGTTTGGACACTCGAGGATTAATCTGGCCCTCACACAAATCGAATGATTTATGTGGCGCATATCTGTTTGATGCCTCCTTGTACCAATGTTTATGTGTTTAAATAAATAAATAAATTGATAACAGGCTAAGGAGTGTGGAAAGCAATACCTTAAAATAGTTAAAGGATTCAAATAATTCAAACTAGTAAACTAGAAATTCGAACGCCACTGTCTGGAAACATCAGGCTAGGGCAGCTAAATAGCTTTTACATACATATAGAGTGTGTACACAAAAACCTGTACATTTTATATATGAGCGACATGCAGTGGAATGTGAATATAAACAGATGATACTTCAGTAAATTACAGAAAATAAGCAAATTAAGTTAGTTAATTGAATAATATTAAAGTCAGAATCTTCAATACGAACGTCAAGACAGTCCTACTGTACGGAGCTTGAGATTGGGGAACTACCACAACCATCATCAAAAATTGCAAGTATTTATAAACACCTGTCTACACAGTATACTCAATATCCATTGGTTGGATACCATCAGTAACAGCCTGCTGTGAGAGAGGACAAACCAGCTTCCAGCTAAAGAGGAAATTAATAAAAGACGCTGGAGATGGATAAGACATACATTACAGAAATCACCAAACTGCATTGGAATGCTGGAAGGAAACGGAAAAGAGGAAAGCCAAAGAACACACAGCGGGTGTCGGGTGCAGACATCGAAAAGATGAATAACAAATGGAAAGGATTGCCCAGGACAGAGTTGGATGGAGAACGATGGTGGGTGGCTTGTGTTCCTCCACGAACGGTAACAGGCGTAAGTAGATAATTGAATAATTTTGGTCGATAAAGTTTACAAGGATCAAATAAGTCATCTAATAAGGGAGTTACAATCGTATACATTGTCTCAAAGATGATAAATCGGTTGGTGAGGTTGTAAATCGTCAGTGACTAAGGTGACTGTGGCATGTATGTCCAGCCAACGCCCATTTTGACGTGTGATTTCGGCTAGCGCAGGAGTAAGTTGTATAAAATCTAAGGGTGGCTAGTGTAAGAAATGACATCAATCCATGGGGTCATTAAGTGTCGGTCTGATCTATATGGGGGAGGTGAAATTACATGGTTGGGTCTCAACCAATAGTTGAGAAAGTTGTATGACATGGATCAGAGTCGGTCACAGTGATACCGATGTATTTATTTTGTTTAACCTAGATCTTGAATTTTAAATCCCTTTGTACTTTATATCGAGAACTCATTCTTTCTCTTTGAATAATGTTGTCTAAACCTAATATTTATTGTTATCACTACGACTATGGTGCTTACCTTGATAAATTCATCTCTTTGTAATGAGTCAAGTGAAGACTTGGACTAATCCAAGTATCAGGCTTTACGTCGCTTATGAGCTATTGACTAATACACTAATATCGAAAATGTATTATTATTCATGATGTTAAATCACACTTAAAAACAAAGTGACGATGCGGTGAAAACGAAATGAATCGAACATTACCCAATAAAAACAAGACAATACCATCACAGCTGCGGTTTTAACTCTTATTTAGCGGTTTACGATCACTGTTTGTTACTATTTCAATAAGACTGATATATTTCAGAAGATGAAGTGAAGTTCAACATCTTTCCATGAGCCAAGAAACCCTGTACGCTGGATTCGGAACACGAGAGAACTGAAACTCAAGAGTACGCATAAACCGAACGACATGAAGCTGAATACATGAGTGCATATTCATAGTTTAAACTCCCGAGTCATTTAACAGCAAAGTGACGAACAATAAAATTTACCCAGAGAAAGTTATAAAATATATTTAATATCTATGATTCCCGACTGTAACTTCTATCTTGATGTGGTGGCTGGGCTTGCCCCTCGTGAGGACCTAACCGAACTACATTATCTGGAACAATTCTTTCCCGAGGTCCAATCATGACAGGGAAGTTGGTTGAGGAACGATGAGAATTAAAGCACTAACCTAATGTGAAATTGTATTTCTGATTGTAGAAGGCTGTGATGGCAGCAAGGTGTTTTCTCCGAACAACTGGCATCTACAGTGATGTCTTCCTACAAAGGGAAAAAGGGGCTTGGAAAGATCGACCGTAATATGTCACACGTCACCTTACCCCATAGATTTCCGTCTCGGATAGTAAGGGCTTTTGAAGTACGGAGCTAATACATCAAAAACCTCCCAAAACGAGGCCATGAGCGACTGATCTCATTTTTTCTTGGGCTGTGTGATCATACCCTCAGGCTATTAAGACCACCACCAAACCAGCTTCTTCTTCAGGTCCCTCAAGAAGAAATATCCTTCCACGGTGTGAGCAGTCAAAAAGTCACAACCGCACCAATACTTCCAGCAGAACCCGAGATCATATTGTCCACGATCAAATCCGTCCATCAATTAATATTGATTCCCCTATCCCCGAGACTAACCGTTTTCGCATATCTTTATCATCACGCATTCCAGTGGACAGTTTCTTGTGCACTGTCAGACTAAATGGAACTGTAAGAACTCGGAGAGATCGAGACAGACGCTGTTGCCTATTCGTTGTCTCTGTCTACGCTTCCACTGATTGCGGCTGGGATAAAGTGGGAGATGAGTTTTGTATGAAGCTTTCAAACTTCTTTTAGAAAAGTTAAACTCTCGGACGTAATAGTGTCTGATTTTAATACCTAAGTAGGTAGAGTAAACCAAACCGAAAGGTGCCTAGGTGAATTTTACGGAGAGGCCCGGTGGAGAGATAATGGCAGCCGTCTGTTGCAATTATGCTCAGATGACCGCTTATTTCTAGCAAGCACCAACCCTTAGAATAAGGAAAGAAATATTTTGATACGGCGACCCCCAGAATCGATTCAAAAATGAACTTGAATAGACCACAATGCCATCAGGGATTGGTGGTGAGGCTTGATAGGAGACTACTGCTCATTCTGAAACACATGTATAGACTCCGATGATTATACTTTAGTGCGTCTTACAGGACGTAGGGAGGTACGGCTAGACAGATATGTTAGAGTTCCTCTTAATGATGAAAAAGTTAAGAATATTTTTCAGAAACAAATAGAGAAGGTTAGTCAACTATATTCTGAGGAAGTGGTTTACACTAAGTCACGAAACGTCAGAAACAAACATTAAGAATTTAGCATGTAGTGAGATTATCTAGAAAAAAGATAGGACTACTATTCACTTTCAATCTCGGAGACTGGACTGGTTGGTAGAACATTTTCAGCAACAGTTCAACTGGCTTCCAGATACCTACTTTCTCCAAACAATCTGAGGTTGAAAAGACTATAAATAATCTAAAACGAGTGAGAGTTACGGAGATCTTTATGGATGGTGGTCTAGTTCGAAATTATCAAATCAAAACTTGTTAATGATACCTATAAAGTCACTTTTGATATGAGCGAGATAACCGTCTGCCAATCATAGGATGAGGTTACTACGCAGTAGTTCTAGTTTATGGTTATGAGACACGGCCAATAAGAATAGAGGATATTTATGGATTACTGGTGTCCGATCTTAGATGTTTGTAAAGCATCACTAGCGTATTTTGGGACCACTGAGTCAGAAATGTTGAGGTTAGGCATATAGTACCAGGAAAAATTGAGAATCAGTTGATATGGTAAGTTATTGACTGAGGCAGTTGGGACATGCATTGTGTATGTCCAATTAACACCTATCTTAATGCGTAATGTTTGCTGATGTAAGAGTTGGCTGGGACAAAGCTAGGGGAGTCCAAAAGAAGACGTGACACCATTTAGAGAAGTCACTGATAGCTGGACTGAGGCATGTTAATAAGTGCAAACAACGTAGTGGGAATGGGTCTAATTATCGTAATTAACGGTTATATACTTCGGGTGATATAACCAAGAACAGTTTGCAATGGTGCAGGTGAATTCACTCTATTTTCCCTCAGAACCTGCATCCCGAAAACTTCCTATTCTTTATTTTTCTGCACCTAATATTTTCTACGACTACCGGTACTGTTACCAATTCTACTGCTCTGAAGTACAACTTGATAATTTTATCTATCTGTGTTTATGTGGTATTACAACTTGAACCGATGCACACAATGTTGCACATGATTAATTGATTGTGATGGACTTCTGAGGTAGCTATATGTCACTAAGATATATTTATACAAATTTTGTTATTTAAATTTTCCTGAGTATAGGAATACATTACTACTCATTTGATAGCCTAATTAGTAACAAGTTATTTCTTTAAATAATGTTTAGTTTTAGTATCACAGCTGGATTAATACATATATTTTTTCAGAGAAATCAATAATAATGGTTTCTTTTTCATGCACTATCAAGATAATTTCAAAGGCATCTATAGATTCATGATAAAATCACGCTAAAAGATTCATTACTGACCTGATCAGTTGACAATTCAGCACCACGCCAAAATATCAAATGTGTGTACGGCAATCGTCGAACAGGACAACGAATTCGAACGGTGGCATCAATTATAGTTGGAGAAGTAGAATGACGACCTTGATTACCCGACTGTTTGGGATTACTATTCGTACCTAGGGCAGCACAACTACCGACTAACTGACCAGATGATGATGGAGTGACATGATGTCGTAAAATGAAAATATTCCGACCGCTCGGACACCATCTACGTATACCACAATCATTTGAACCGTCATATGCTTCATTTAATGAAACTTGTAGGCTTAGCTGTGTATGTGATGAATCCCATATAACCTTGAGACGAAATCTTGGATGACAAGTCCGAAGATGAAGAACCAAGGCTTCAGGACCTTTATCACCCGCACGAGCACAATCTAGGTGGCACCATGGACAAACAAGATCAGTAGACTGGGACCACTGTTGTAAATTACCCCCGAATACAAAACCGTATGTGATTGGATGGATTAAGGGTGGCGTCTTCGTAGACGTGGGCTTATCAACATCTGGTCCAGAATGAGCAGAGAGACTTTGTTGTACACGATTAGAGAGACATTTATCTAAACCGGTTGAATCTTTGTATACAGAAGAATCGCAAGACTCCTTTAAAACTATTTGTTTATGTGGTGTGACAGACTGATTTTGCAACTTGATAACATCTCGATTATGAGAATTTGTCATGGAACGTGTAAGTGAAGATCGACCCTCCGCATGCATATGGGTATTATCTTGTCTTCGAGTTTCCATCGATCTACAGGGTGAAGTGATCTGATTATTTTCCAATTTATTATGCCATATGACAGAAAACCGAAGACCAGGCCATCGAGAATACTCATCCAGTGCCGTTGAAGAATTAGGGAAGCGAATACGCCTCCATTCAACTTGACCAGAGCACGCGTCATTTACTTTGTCGTTGTTAGCTGAAACATATGACTTTTCACTTGTATTGTCATCCAAACATTTTAATGGTACAACTTTATTCATCACTCTACCATTACTACCACTGTTACTAACATTGCCGTCGGATGTGTCTACACCAAGGCGTAATTCATATAAACCAGGAGTCAGAAGCAGTTGACGACCGGTATGAGAACTATCTAAACCATTTTTTTCGAAATACAGAAATGAAAACAAACTAAGAATTAAAATCTACTATAGTAGGAGATGAATATAAAAATATTAATTGAAATCACATTGATATTGCTTCATTATGCAAACAACGAAGCAGAGGAAACGAATATAAATCACGAAATTGTAAGCAACATAGTGTTGAACTCTGCAGGTTAAACAGTCAGAACATGTTTCAAGCCAGATTTAGCACCGTTACACCCAAAAGAATCTCTATGTTTACATATATTTGAGAAAATCTAAGTGACTGACCGGTTCTTGAATATCTGCATAATATCTAAGTGTGTGGAGAGGTAGCTAGGTTGTCGTGTTAGGCTTTTAACCAATAAGTCACATGTCTGAACATTGGTCCCACCTACTTCGATCTGGGTAAATGGATAGCATCACTAGCTTTCACAGTTAGAGTAGCTCTAAGCCAAGTGTACAATCCCGTATCTGGTAAATGAGTTGAAAAAGAATCCAAGCATCAGATGATAAAATATAATCGACAGGAAGCCCTGAACCTGTGAATTTCAGGTTGTTCATGACAAGCCCTATTTGTAATCTCAGAGACTGTTACCCGCAGGACTCCAACCCGTGCTGCAGACAAATGTTACCACCAGCTGACATTTATTTATTTAAACACATAAACATTGGTACAAGGAGGCATCAAACAGATATGCGCCACATAAATCATTCGATTTGTGTGAGGGCCAGATTAATCCTCGAGTGTCCAAACCGAAGCAGGTGGTTTTCTTAGGGTGCCACACCCGGAGCCTTTGATCTAAGGGTCTAATCCACAAGGCAGTGGAGCAACGTTGCCAGATGCCATCCCCATGGTAGCCGGTGACCAAGAATAGGTCCATACGCCCTTTATCCATCAGGATCTTTTAACCCATGTGCATCATTGGTGCGGAAACAGAGTTTTCTGACTTTCTTAGGTAGACCCTCCGTGTCCACCGATTAAAGCACCGGACATTTGCTTTTCATCTCAGTTTTGTAACCAACACTTTCACTGCGACAAGGCGGTGAGTAGGACTTTCCTGGTAGTGGTTGTATACGCATGTCTATGTGAGAGCATTTCGAGAGGGAGAGTTGACTCTCTGCTTCCTCAGCCGTACCAGGTCATTTGGGGGAAACCAGCTGATATCCGAGCTGCGAATGACCTCTTGTAAGAAAGATTTATACAATGATTAATAACATAATAGTAAAGAAGTCTCATTTAATTCAGTCCTAATTACTAACTGAATTTTACGGACCAAGTGGCCATGGAGTTACTAGTCTGTGGGGATAACTCGAAATCGTGATGAACATTGTTCAGTGTTTAGGGGTTGTAGGGAATCGCGACAATCAGCACTGGACCTAGGGGTTTCGGTGTTAACTGGAACTTGCCAATAAGGCTTTTTGAGAATGTACGTCTGCAAAAGAACAATTACCATTAAATTAATTATTGCGGTTTTTATCAGGCTCTATTTTAATATTCATATCAAGAACAAGTATGCAATAGCACTTTCTCATCTCTTAAAAATCAACTGCAAACGAACTGAGAAGGATGACCGCTGATTAACATAGCTTATAAGTCAGTCTAAATTAGTCCAGAGTGTAAAAGCTACCTGAAGAGCTCATTTGTTTCTAAATTGTAATCACAAGAACCGCACTCAATTATTAAACTGCTGTGACTTTTTTACGTTTCACTGAGGAACTTGATCACATAGGGAATATGAGATTGTCAACCAAAATGCTACAGAATATACATTTCGTTTCCAAACTTTATGATATTTTAAAACTTCACTCATGTGAAGTACACGAGAATTGAAAACTAAATACTCAAATGTGCAAATAGTATGATGCAAAGTTGTAATACCAAATATGCGAGGTCATGTAAGTAGATACAATTGAGTCTTGTACGTGGTTGAAGGACATAACACCTACTATATGTAACCCCGGAGCAAGATATCAAGCCGTCAGTTTGTGAAGCTACCAACCATCGCACCACACTGTCCCAGGAATCATTGGCTTTATAATTAGGGTTCGCGAAATAATCGAACTACGATTGTATAATTGAGGCTACACTATTTAAAACCAGTGGCATCATTCATTATTTTCTTAAGTTGGAACTTAATGTCCAACTCGCTGTTTTTATAGTTCATAATTACTTTTCTTCGACGGACAAAACCACTTGAGAATGCACTAAAGACGTTACCAATTTACTGAGTGAAATACAAATGTTAGGTATAAGACTAACAACACTCAATAACCTATTTGGATTACCCCAATTGTACATAGAACTAGACTTCGCACTCTCATTAGCGGAGACAGTGAAGAAGAGGACAGAAGTTTTCTTTTTTAATGTATTGGAATTGGATTTACGAAATAGTAGCTTAGCGTATGAACACACTAGTTTATTAGTTTCACAATATTGTATTCTCTTTAAAACTTATTTCGATTTCTGTTAGTGATAAGATAGCATGGGACAAAAAAGCTTTGTATTAGTGCAACAGCAACACAGTAGCGAGAAATACGATTCTTTCTTTAATATAATGAATTTAGTTGATTTGTTTGTTCTTCAGTCATAACCAACGTATAGCTTAGCACATATGTGTTGACCGAAGTAGTCATATCACGTTAGCACAATGAGATGTTAACAAGATGAATAGTAAACGAATTGAAATAATATGGTATCGATTACATTGAGAAATATTAAGCATTGAAAAAAGGATAAGTAAAAAATCAGGGTAAAAAAAGTAGCAGGAAACTTTGTATTATTTTAAACGAAAACTAAAATATAACGAGATGATTTGATACAATAAAATTAGTTTTGATAACTTACCGAAACCAATCGAAGATACGATCAAAGGCAATGGAGCTGTAGAATATTGAACCGGATAGGAATTTGAACTTAAACCACCTTTACGCAATAGATTACCACTGATAAATGTCGTATGGCTATTAATGTTTTTTCCATCAGTATGAGCACTTTTCGAAGAATTTTGGGATGGGTTATTATTACCATTATTGTTATGGTTTATATGATTAATATGATTTGTTAAGTTGTTTGAAATGTTTGGAGTAATTCCATTCAAACTAACTGCTCCATGACTTAAATCGGGACGTTTTAACCAACGTCGTTCAGTGGCGGAAACATGTAATTCCAACTGAGCCGATGTTAAACGACCACTAGATGTATTCCATTTAACTTGATTAATTAGATCGGTTAATGAGAAACGACAAGCGGTACGAGTAGTATTTGTAGTAGCAGTAGTACTATTATCATTATTTGAAGTGGGCGGTGAGTTAACTAGGGAAGTGTAACCAGTTGAATGACTGTAACAGTTTATTCGAATTGGATTTGGCGTTATATTCAAAATTGTATCGTCTGGGCATATTTTACGGCGCCATGCCCATCCAAAGCGTAAATGAACATTAACAGAAGCCTTAATTCCAAAAAATGTGGGAAATTGTTTGTGTAATGTATTCCAATATTTTTAATAAGGCAGCATTGCAAACTATGCTACTATCTAACTAGAATAATTTAATAATAATACTAATACTAATTAGACTCTCACATCAAAATGTAATGTTTAGTTTGTATGAGGATTGAGTTATGCCAACATTTAGCATACTTGCCTTTTACTTTCAATATCATAAAAAACTTGTAATACTTCAACAACCACATAAAAGCACGGATATGAGCTTTAGCCTGTTATCAATCCTATCCAACAATGATTGATAACAATATGATATATCTGGGTAAAATATACGGTGGATAATGATGAATTAACAAGCCAAACAATATACCTCTCTGAGTATAAATTTGGTACCAAGAACCGGCTGACATAGTCTATTTACCAGAATGCAGTCCGTTAACCCTCGCGAGAGCATAGGCCATCGACCAGGATGCTCCAACCAAATCTGTCTTAGGCTTCCCTTCTCAGTTGTTTTCAAGTGCTACGCATTCTTTTGACGTCTGCCTCCGATTCTCGACACAATGTGTTCCTCAGTCTTCCTCTTTTCCTGTTCCCTTAAGAATTCCAAGTTACAGATTGCTTCGTGTCGTGACGCCGTTTGATTATTTCAGTGAAGTGTGACTTACCAAATTTTAGCGTTTTTTCCTCCTCAGCTGAAGCCTGGTTTTTTTGTCACAGTAAGTTGTTACTGGTAGTATCCGGCCAACGGATCTGAAGTATCTTGAGTAGACGATTGTTTATAAATACCTGCACTTTTTGATGATGGTTATAGTTCTCCACGTTTCAGTTCCGTACTATAAAACAGCCTTGACGTTCGTACTGAAAATTCTGGCTTTGATGTTGGCTGACAACTGTTTTGAGTTCCATATACGCTTTACTTGTAGGAATGCTGCACTTGCTTTTCCAATCCGTACCTTTACATATGCTCCATATATTCCTTGTTTATAGATGATGCTGCCCAGGGACGTAAAAATCTCCACCTCTTCCAGAGCTTCTCCATCAAGCGTGATTGGATCAGTAATTTCTGGGCTGTATTTCAGGACCTTGCTTTTTCTCTTCTGCTTGTTGAGGTTTACTGCTTCAGAGGCTGGCCGTTTTGGTTTACTGTATTCCCTTGCCAGTTTTTTTGTTGCATCAGATAGTTGTCTCATATTTCCCTCGCTTGTAGCGTCTTCCGCTGCCATTGCTTGGTCATCCATTTATTTTTGCTTGTCGACTCTAATGCTCTTCCTCACTCTCATGTTTGTTTCTGTGTATTCGGTCTGTGCCTTGAATTTACCTATTCTTGTTAGGCTGTTTTTAATTGCTGTCTCGTTTTCCATTGTTAAATCTTGCCCAAAGTATCGGTGGAGATCCTTTCTTTATGATAGTGCCTCTTGCATCCCAGTACCTCCTGGTTCATTGAAGTTATTGCTTCTTTGATAGCTTTTCAACTGTCATGCATAGTAGTTTCTTCTTTGAGATCTTGTAAAGCTTGGAATTTGTTGTTGAGAAATATCTTGAGTTCGTTGAGTTTTCCAATGTTTCTTTAGCTTTAGCTTCATCTTGGCAACCACCAGGTGGTGATCAGAAGCTATGTTAACTTCTCTCCTGGTTTTCACGTCTTCTATTGATCTCCTTAATCTTTTAGTGGTGCAAATATGATCGATCTGGTTCTCTGTAGTGTGATCCGGTGAGACCTACGTAGCTTTGTGTATGCCATGTTATATATCCTCATTTCCTCAGTTATTGGGCCGGTCCTCCGGTCTCCTACAATGTCCGGACATTTCATGTACCTATGTTAATTGCTGATCTGGTTGTTAAAAGGGGTATCGGCCTCGTTACTTCCGATGAAGTTCGGCTTTCACCATTAGATGTCATAATTCTTCTAAATGAAGATACTTTAACTTCCAGGACAGAGTTTAAATGGTTTGGATGATTTTTTCCGGCTAGCGTTTTTTTAGCAAGGTTGTTTTCTACGGGATGGGTTTGCTGACTCTATGCCCAACCCCCCCACCTCTATCCGGGCTTGGGATCGACAGTAACCTCAGAAGGGTTACAGGCGCAGTCTTGGAAGAATTACATAGTTGACTTCTCATTGGACTTCATTAACCTAGTTAAATTGAATCTGCCGGTCACAACAAGTACGCTTGATTGACACGTATATACTTGGTTTTAAGTCACAGAGTTAGTGTTAATATCCGGAAGCACATTACAACTAGTTTTTTTCAACGTCAAACAATGTGATGTAGTAGGTTAGATTTTAAAAGGTTAGGATGTTGCTATTTGACCATTCTTAATCACTTACACACATTATCACCCTATACCGACATGGGTAACAGGCTTACGCAACTTGTGTCATTACATTAAAAAAAACAGAACTGGACACGATGATAAAATAGTGTGAATGTGATATGATTTCATCACTTTAAAACAAACTACTCCAATTGCATTACTGTTACGATTTAACCAATAAAAAGACAATACGAACAAGGTCAATAACGAATTTATATGAGCATGCCTCATTATTTCACTATATATAATTAAAACAAATTTCTATCTAAACCACTTGTAATAAACTAAGCTTGAACTAGGAAGTGATAAAACAGTTGTTTTGTGATAAATATTTTTGAATGACTTATTAATGTCAATTACTATTATTTATTTATTTATACACATAAATATTGGTACAAGGGGGTACCAGATACATATGCGCCGCACTAATCTCATTCGATTTGTGTCAGGGCTGTGATACCGCTCAGGTGCCCAAACTGAAGCAGGTGGTTTTTTTAAGGGGCCACACCCGGAGCCTTTGACTTAAAGGTCTGATCCACAAGGCAGTGGAGCATCATAAGTAGATGCAGTCCCATGGTAGCCGGTGACCAACAACAGGTTCATACGCCATTCGTTCCATCAGGATCCTGGAGCCCATGTGCACCATTGGTTTGGAATCAGGGTTTTCCAACTCCCCTAGGTGAACTTTCCGTGTCCACCAACCCGGTTAAATCGCCTGACATTCGCTTTTCGTCCCCTAACTTTCGTGAACAACACCCCCGCCACGAGAAGGCAGTGAGTAGAACTTCCTTGGCAGAGGCTATGTACGCGTGACCATATGAAAGCATTCCGAGGAGAGTGGGCCCTGCCCACTCTCGGCCGTCCCAGGGCATTTTGGGGGCTTCTCGGCTCTCTGAGATAAGATCATGTGTAGTATGTCAATTACTAGTGTTAGTTATTCACCAATTATATAAAACCTCGATACTAACAATAAATAAATAAATTTTAGTTCAGTTTGGATAATTGAGCTTGAGTATACGTGGTTTCATTTTACTGTATACACTCTAAGAGCATATGCCCGTTCATTGTTCGACTTTATTACGTAGAGATTATGTGCAACGACTTATAATTCTCATCATAATCACTATTGTTGAGCTTTTTTCGAAATGCCAAACTATCTAACGGCTTTAAATTTCACCCTATTCATGTTTTTTAATATTTTGAATGAATTGAATAAATCTAAGCATGTTGGTTAATTTATCCTGTTGACCAATGGATAGTATATAAATATTATAGATTAAGTGTCGATAGAGGTTGATTAGTTCAGTAATATAAAAATCAATTCAAAGCTTTATTAACTAATTTGCTACCTATGTTAACTGATCTAAGATTGACATTAGAATTACTCACTCGATATTTCCTCACCAATGTGAGTAATGGTCCGAAGATACTTGTAATTAAACACTAGTAACTCACGAATGAATTCTACTTTTAAATGCCACGTTCCACAACCGTAAAGTAAAATAGCGTACTCCTCAAGTAATCAAGCTCAGAGGCGAATAAGTAAAAGCATGAATCAACAATAATTATTTTTTTAAATTCAGGACTACTAAAATTATGAAACACAAGTTCATACTCCCGAACAGTGGAAGAAAACTGTTAAATGTGATCAATGATGAACACTAGTGACTTAAAAAACTATGACTATTTAGTTTCACATAATTCTCTTTCTATTTTAGAAACTTTCTTCAATCCTAAACTCACGTGTATGCATAAAACTGATAAATTTTATTTTAATCCACAATTAGTATGAAGAATGGAAACAAAAATCACTAGTTGTCATTGCTATCAACTAACTCTCTTTATAGAATATTTATGGATGAATTGGTTAATATAGTTTAGAAGCAACTGTAAATGGTATAAATGCATTCATTATATTTACCTGACTGTTGCTGCTACCTTGACGTGGTGGTCGGGCTTGCCTATCGTGATGAAGCAATCGAGCTATGCTGGCTGGAACAATCGTTCCTTGAGGTCCTACCATGCCAGACAGGTCGGTTGAAGAGCGGTAAGACTAAAAGCAGCAATCCCAAGGTCCGAAGGCGAAGTCGTACTGCCGACTGTACAGAGGTGTGACAGCATTAAGGTGTTTCCTTCAGACAACCAGCATGACAGCGATGCTGCCTTCCCACAAGGAGGGGTGGGGTCAGAAATGGTCGACCCTAAAAATGCACACCTCGCCTTATCCCACGGATATCCGTCTCCGGCGGTAAGGTCCCAACAAAAACGGAGCTAACACTTCAAAAATCCCTCACAAAAAGGTCGTGTGTGATCGGCCTCAAGCAGTTGTCCCTTGGGCACTGCGGTCACGCTCCCAGGTCGTTCAGACCAACACTAATCCAACTTTTTTTTCAGGTACCCCTAGAAGAACCCTTCCACGGTGTGGGCAACCGGGAAGTGATAACTGCCCTCATATCTCTAACAGCACTCAAGACCACTGTATTCATAATCAATCTCCCTCTTCAATTCCTACTATTACTTCTACCTTGACTTTCAACACTAAACTTCCTCTTCCGGTTTCCTCCTCAAATGTCACCATGGCCAACGATTCTAGTGCGCGAAACGCTGTCCCAGGTCTACTAAAACCTCGCTCCAAACTACACATTGGAACCTTCAACGTACGTACTTTAAGTCAAATCGGTCAACAGGCCTCCTTAGCTAAAACCCTAGAATCTCGTACCATTGATGTATGCTGTGTCTCCGAAACAAGCATACAAGATCCTAGTGTGGTCATTCACTTGACCTCACCTCGCCAAAATGGACAGCCAACGAAATACACCCTCCGTGTATCTGGCGACCACATGACTAGTTCTCGTGGACTTGCAGGTGTAGGCATAGCACTAAGTACAAGGGCAGAACAGGCACTATTAGAATGGATTCCCGTTAACAGTCGCCTGTGTGCTGTCCGGCTAAATGACTCCGTAAGAACTCGGAAGGATAGGGACACACGTCGTTGCCTTTTCGTCGTTTCTGCCTACGCTCCCACTGACTGCAGCCATGATGAAGTAAAAGATGACTTTTACAGAAAACTCTCCGAGCTTCTTCAGAAAGCTAAGCGTTCAGACATAGTAGTCGTAGCGGGTGACTTTAATGCCCAGGTAGGCAGCTTAATTCAAACAGAAAGACATTTAGGTGGGTGTTTTAGTATTCCGGCTCAAGGAACCGATAATGGTGATCGTCTGTTGCAACTATGCTCAGACAATCGTTTGTTTTTAGCAAGCACTAATTTTAAGCATAAGGAGAGACATCGGCTAACATGGCGACCACCTTCACCAAACCAACGATGGACTCAAATAGACCATATTGTCATCAGTCATCGTTGGAGAGGCTCAATAGAAGATTGTCGCTCGTATTGGAATACTTGTTTAGACTCTGATCACGCTTTAATAAGAGCGCGCATTTGTCTGCGCCTCAATGGACGCAGGAAAAGTACACTAAGAAGACCCATTAGGATTGAATTGGAGGACGAGAAAGCCAAATGCGAATTCCAGAGGCAACTGAGTTCACATCTAGGCAGTTCTGTAAACGAGACTGACCCAGATGCTGCTTGGAAAGACATACGAACAGCTGTGGAAACAGCAGTAACATCTATTAGTCATTTAAACCATAGGGCTCCAAAAAACCAGTGGATTTCCTCTAAGTCTATTTCACCGATGGATTCGCGTAAACTCATCCCATCAGGCTCTGAACATGACGAAGAGCGTAAAGAAATTAGATCTAGGTTAACTACAAGTCTAAGGAACGATTGCGAGCAGTGGTGGGCAACGAAAGTAAAAGAGATGGAAAAGGCAGCGGCTGTAGGCAACACCAGGCAACTATTCAGACTAATAAAAGAAACCGGAATTAAGAAGTCAAGTGTGAGACAATCTCGGAAAAAGACGGAACCCTTATCTGCTCTCAACCCAAACGTTTAGAACGGAGGGCGGAACACTTTAAGGAGCAGTTCAGCTGGCCTTCAGCTACTGCACAACTACCCACTGTTCCCAGAAAACCTGAATGGAACATTGAAGTAGGCCCCCCGACCCTACTTGAAGTTCGAAAGGCTATAAGTAATCTGAAACGAGGAAGAGCAGCTGGTCCAGATGGATTGGCTCCAGAGGTCTTTAAATATGGTGGTCCAATTTTAGCGATTAGGTTGACTAATATTCTGGCTAAAATCTGGGAAACGGACGTAATCCCATCTGACTGGTCACAATCTCTGATTGTCCCAATATATAAGAAGGGGCCAAAATCATCCTGTGATAGCCATAGAGGGATTAGTCTGACTAACATAGTATCTAAAATACTAGTCTCAATAATTATCGGGCGCCTAACTAAGACTCGTGAACTGCAAACACGAGAAAATCAGGCTGGCTTCAGACCTGGTCGTGGCTGTATCGACCACATATTCACCATTCGTCCAGTTTTAGAGCACAGACATGCTTATCGGCGTCCGACAATGATAGTTTTTTTTGACTTAAAAGCAGCATTTGACTCTGTAGACCGAGAGGTTCTGTGGCAGTGTCTGTCATTGAAAGGTGTACCTCAGAAGTACATAAACCTAGTGAAGGCTCTTTACTCGAACACTACCAGTCGAGTGAGAGCTTATGGCGAACTGTCATATGATTTTAAAACCTCAAGTGGTTTCCGTCAAGGCTGTCCACTATCCCCATTTTTGTTTAACTTCATTATAGACCTATTGCTGGAAATAACACTCTCGTCGACTGAATTTTCAGGAATTGATCTTCTACCAGGGGGTCCACTAAGCGACTTAGAATACGCAGATGACATAGTCTTGTTTGGTGAAGATGTTGACAAAATGCAGAGTCTTCTGTTGGAACTCAGTAATAATGCCAGGATGTTTGGGATGCGTTTCTCCCCATCCAAATGTAAATTGTTACTCCACGACTGGCCTGCGTCAACACCCGAACTAAGGATAGGGAGTGAAGTAGTCGAACGCGTCGACAACTTCACTTATCTTGGAAGTCTGATCAGCCCTAATGGGTTGGTGTCTGACGAAATCTCAGCACGGATTCAAAAAGCTCGTTTGGCTTTTGCCAACTTACGTCACCTATGGCGAAGACGAGATATCCGTCTATCAATTAAGGGACGAGTATACTGCGCAGCAGTTCGTTCTGTTCTACTTTACGACTGCGAAACATGGCCATTAAGAGTAGAAGATACTCGTAGGTTACTAGTATTTGACCACAGATGCCTTAGAAATATTGCTCGCATCTGCTGGGATAACCGGGTAAGTAATAGTGAGGTTAGACGCAGGGTATTAGGAATGATGGTAAATCAGGTGATGAAGTCATGAATATTCATCGACTGAGATGGTTGGGCCACGTGTTACGTATACCTGAACACCGATTACCACGACTCGTAATGCTTACTAGTGTAGGGGATGGTTGAAAAAGAGTTAGGGGCGGCCAAACCAAAACATGGCATCAGTGCTTGAAGTCACTAACTTCTAGTCTGAGCCATGTTGGCAGATGCAGACTACCTGGTTGGGGTCCGCGTGACTGTCGTAATAAATGGTTGGAGACTCTGGGTGACATGGCTCAGAATCGATCACAATGGTGTAGGTGTATACACTCTTTATCTTTCCTTAAACCTTGAGATTAAAATTGCTTCATAACTTTTTTCCTTCCTATACTATATCCTTATATACAACCTTTTTTTATATACTACCACCACTAAATTAATTACTTCTATGAAGCCGGTGTTGATCTTGTTGTGCTAACGAGGTATGGCAACTTGGACCGATGCATATATGTGCCTGGTCCTACGTTGTCGCTGACTGACTGACCCACCAGAAGATCTCGAATTTTTGAAATTATTCCATAGTTTTATTTTGTGAACTCATTCATTTTCGAAGTGTACTGACTATGCTTAACGTGTTTTGCTACTAACACTGATATTGTTGTTACTACTTCAATTACTTTGGGCAGTTGTCATTATAATTTCATATTGTTATGCTGATGAGATGAGGTAATTTGGACCGATGTACATATGTGGAAGATTCTGTGTTGCCTGTGACTAACTGATTGACTTGAAGGTTATCAAAAGACTTATTATCCAGTTAATCTAAGCAATGAAAAATTTGTTACATAAACATGTGTACCACGTAAAAGTTTTATAAAGTCAAATGAATGGTTAAAAAAACTAAACATCGACGCTGTATAATGGTATTGTACAACAATAAGTATGTGAGATACTAATCAACACAAAACAATGAACTTACGTCCACGGTGACCCAATCCATTTCTTTTTCACTATCGTAAAAGCCTTCAAAAATGAGTTCTAATTCTTGAGGCAATTCACCAGGAGTAGTTGAAGAGGAAGACGAAGTGGATTCTAAGTACTTACTGGAATCCTTCAATTCATCATTCTGTTTGCAATCTTTTCGTCTTTCAATTAAACGTTCTACAATTCTGTTTATGCTTCGACGTGAACCTGGATCAATAATAAACTACAAGTTGATCAAAATACTTAATGCATGTTATGATTGTTATTTTTTTTGCCAAAAACAAATGTAAGGGAAGTTAGAACTTTTATGGGAGCGATGGTTTTGTGGTTGAAGGACTAGAGATTCATACCAAGCAAGTATCTAGTTTAAATTCCATTTACTTTGGTTTAGACAGTAGGGTAGTATCACTCAATAACTTGTTCACCACTAACTACACATCAAATATGCTAAAACTTGTGATTACAGGCTATACTGAAACAATTCGTTGGGAAAACAGATAAGGCAACAAGGATTGATTAATTCTATTTCTGAATATTAACAACAGGAAATTACAAACCCTTCTTGATAAATTTAAACAAGTTAGTGGTTACATCGACTCAGTAGATTACGCATCGGCGTTTGAAGAGAAAGATACTGGATTTAAGTTTCAATATGAACATTCACATCGGGATGGAGACACATCGAGGTGACAAGTCTCAAATGAGAGAGAATGTGCCTCCCAAATCCCACTGCTAGTCATATATTAAATGTACTAAAAGATTTGAATTTTTGTATTCAGCTGGATTTGATTCCTTTATTTTATAATTAGCTATTCAGCGTTTAAGCTGGCAAGTAGCTTTGCTAATTACGGTTATTAAAATAAATTAGAATTAAATTTCAGACACAATTTTGTTATGTAGACCTAAGAAACTAATACAGTGGGGATTTTAACTTACCAGATGACTGTTTACGGGATGGATTTGGCATCAAGTAGCTGAGAGTACGGTCCAGATATAACGGACGATCACGATGACGATGGGAAAGATATCTATATAGGTGTGTTGGGATAGCAAAAGCCCGTATAAATGCCTCCTGCTTTTTAACCAGGTTATTAAAATCAACAATTGAGTTAGCGTAGTTGGACTGTGCACTTCTAGCATTAGGTTTTCTAGTATAAGAAAATCTTGAAGATGGATTGCGTCGAGTGTATTTTCGTTTAAAACCTGTTGGTCTGTTGGAACAACTAACCGATTGAACCTGCTCAACTGGGTTTTCATTAGTAGGAATGATACCAAACTCAGAGTTAGTTTGTGGTAAAATATCGTTCGAAGTATTTGCCTGAGAATTGACATTTGGAATACGACGCCTATATGGTCGTTTAGTAACATACACAGCCTGTGAAGTTCTGCATTTTAACCTGTACAAAGCAGAACGGTTAGCAATACGACCATTCAGGATTCTACGTTGAGATTTGGTTTGAATAAGCTACAAAAAAAGTAAAATGCGAGTCTAATTTGCTATCATTCAGTTTTAGAAAATTACTAGCAATAATACAACAGTTCAAATTTTTTTAGCTTAACATGAATAGTAGCAGTAGTATCCAGAAAGATGTGATAATGAAAATTAACTCATTCACCGGGTACTTTGATGTTAGTGATACTATCCTATCACCAAAACCGAAGGTGGAACGGGGTTCGGATCCGAGACTTAGGGGTGGAAAGTCGAACGCCTTAACCACTAAACCAAAATGATATACACTTAAGCATTATGGGCTTGATAAACAATCGATCTGTATACTGGGTTTCCTTATTTTCCCGAGACATGCCCAATGAGTTCAAAATAAAAAGTTGTGACCACATGAATTATTGCATTTTTGCATAACTACCAAGGTCACTGAAGTTATCTGAAGTATAGTAAGTAAACTAAAATGAAAAATTCAATGTATTTCAATGGTATGGGGAGATATTTGACATTCAGATAACTTGACTTTAAGGGAAATAAGGCAAAGAATAAGGGCAGAATCTTGTACCGCCAGGAGATACAGTGGTCAGATTAGTCTGAAATACTCTTGATTTTATCGCTGAAATTTTGACCCGTACAATGTTTCAGTAAGCACGCTTTACTTCTGCACTAGCTTGAACTGATCACCATCAGTTGACGATTAACACGGCTTTCATAAAACTGATTATAATCAGACAACAAAATGTGTTATTGAAGCCGAGTAGTGTGATTAAGTATAGCAAAGTTGTGATAACTGAGAGCATTTTTAAAGAAAATACGTGTTTTAATATATATTATTTCGTTGTATGTTAAATTAACCAAGAATTTTTACACTGATTGAAAGATTAGTAAACAATAATCGCTTTCTCATCACAACATGAGTAGATAAAGAACAGGATTTTCAGCATATAATCTGACAACAACCAAATTTTATACAATTTTTAGGCGGAAACAAGCGAATACGTATGTGAAAAACTAAGCTGATAGTTTCAAGTCTGAAAACAAAAACATCTACGACGCCTATTTATTTCCGCTTCTGCCACAGTCAAGAACCGATTTTACCCGTACATCTTTTATCATAACATATACATGTTATGCAAGACACAGTTGATGTCTGCTAATCAGCTTTCAGTGAATAGATCCATATGTATTTAATTTTCGTTCTATCGGATAGACCGTGAAATCATAAGCTGAATAAATAATTGAGTTTCCAAGGTTAGGAATTACATAGTCGTTCCTTATAAGTCCTGAAAACAGTCTGGAGTTATGAACAAGGATATATAATCTTTAAGAATTAATAAATCGTAAAATTCAGGGTTAAGTAATGCCAGAACATGACTTTACATGCAGTAGGGATTAGGAGTACATTGATTTCGATAATAAAAAATAATGAAATGATTCAATTAGTGACGTTCACCAATATTCATGGGTCATGAAACTGAATGACTAATTGAAGTCATAGTGTAGTAATATCTGATTCACAAGCGACAATATTTCAGTGAAATCTTGCAAAAATTTATTACACTTAAACAATCGAAATTATTCGCAAATAAAAATAAGATGGAAGCATTACATATTGGAGGAAGTGATTATTTGGAACCGGTTAGTAACAATAATGATGTAATTCATTTACCAGGTAAAGGTGCTTGACTGAGTCACATAGTTTTTGTAAAAGTTGGTGATATCTGACTGCTTCAAATGAAGTGGGGGCAGACCTGCAGCCTACCGGTTGACTTATAAGTAGGGAGTTCTACACTACCATACACCAAATGACATCCATTTCTCTCTAGTTGGAGGGGGGTACTGCTAAATTGAATGTCTATCACAATCGCTAAATTCTCTCTAGGTAACAGCCATTCGAGCAGATGGAACACAAACGATTTTGGCGACTATGTAAAACGTGACTTCTAAGTATACAAACGTAATTTCATTCTGAGGTGAGAAAATGTTTACTCACTGAGTTTCATTAAATGTTCCAGCAAACACAAAAACATACTGGCTTAGTTGATTGTGGTTACTAGGCGATTGTAGTGTATACATCACTGAATATTTAAACATAGTAATCACCTTAGCATAAGCTTTTCCTCTCATACATTTAGGATTACTTTTTTTTCTTGAGTCTACAGATGTACGTCTACTAGCCTTTGAACGACTTGTCCTATCATCAGACTTCTTGACGTGTGAGGCGGTTCGACCTCGCCCAGGCTTGTTTTTAAATGCATTGCTAGACCTGGGAGTTTGCTTCTCAGATGATTCCATGGACGACAACGATCCTAAAAAGTTTAAAAAAGCATCAGTTTAGGTGTGAGTTATCATAATGGAAAAATTTAAAGTTATGGACTATGAAATTATGATACTGAGACGACTCCGCAGGATTTTAGCTTTGTAAAAGTTATTTTAATTAACTTTGATATATGAATGTATTAAGCAATACCACAAGAAAGTCTAACCTGTGTGCGTTTTGAAGAGTGAACTCTAATACATTTTGTTTTCACAAGTTAGTAATGACTACTTTAGGTTATCTACACAGTGTGGTTTTATTGAATAAACAGAAGTGGTTAAGTTATTATAGAATCACTACCTAGCGACAAATGAAAAAAACAGTAAACCACAAGGACTTTCCGGAAGATAACGATATTACTTGGCTGTTTGGACCTCAGTATGTGAAACACGGTGACATAGCAATCGATAAACGAGCGATTAAAACAGTGAACTACAGCTTGTATGACTAAGTTCCAAGCTACAAGACAAAACGTTTATTTGAATGGTCTTAATTAAACTAGTAATATCAAGTTAATCACCTTGATCACTTGTTTTAGCAGAATATTCTAGAGGTGTTCTTTTACGTTCACAATCGGCCCAGGTAACTGGGACATGAAATGATGGAACAGTTGATTTTTTGCAGAGTACGGTAGCATTACAAGTTAGGTACTCGGAAAAATGAAATATTTTACTTACCTAAGTATTTAACTATTTCCTCAGGTATCTTTTAGACACATGGCGTCTATTCGTCTAGATGAAATTGTACTACGTATACAGACAAACGAATATAAATCATATGGAAACATTTTACGAACATAGGGATACAATGATATAATGATAGTGATTAGGCTGTTGTTTTTGACGATGGTTATTTAGTCCAAAAACCATTAGCATCAATATTTATAAACATTCAGTAGAGTAGTAGTTCTTAAAGTAAAAATGAGACAGAGTGATGTACGCTGGTTTACCTTGAAATGCGTGAAATTAGGAGAAAATCAAGAAAATTAGTGTTGAAAATCGGCTTCTGGTCGGGGGATGTGGTTAACATATCTACAGATCACGGTGTGAAACTCCAAAGCCGAATTGTAGGGCATTTCTAATTAATATATGCCATGAATTTTGAGGATCCGTTGCTTCATTTTCTCTGCAACGTTCAGACTGACATTTAGACGAAGCTTACTTTGAAGAGCCCGTTTAAATCAGCCTGGGGCAAGAAGTAACGGAGTTAGTCTTCAGAAACATCTTGATTTTAAACGCATGTAAAGCAAAACTGATGGCGAGCTGGGACCACTACTTCTCTTATAATACAAACAATCCGAAACCAATCAATCTGACATGTCACTAAACAAACGCTGACAACGCTCGTCTGAAACCAGTGGTATTGTGAACTAGCTTTATTAATCCCAATAGAACTATTCCACCTTCTAGCCAGTCTGTAGTTTAAAAATTGAAATAATCAGGTAATTATTTGCTCAGCTCAGTAGGGATTTTGATAAAGCTTTTGATTTGCATCAGTTTTGCTTCTTACTAGCAAATTAGATTTACTGCTTTACTAGTCTACCACAGATGTCAGGATATCACATGTAAAATAAATAAATAAACCAACGGAATACAAATATTATTTCCTTTCCTCGACAGTAAGTGAACCATTAGTCGAGTAGACTTAACAAGACATCATTTTCGAGACACTCATCACTTACTGTAGTCATCAAATTGAAATTGTAACCTGTCTTTCCGGTAGACAACTTTTGTTGTAACTAAAATCGCCCGGTATCATAAGCGATTATACATAGTAAAAAGTCATTCAGGCAACATAAGACAAGAGTATCATGGTATCTACATATGCCAAGGTCGCAGTGACATATGCAGTGCATCGGAAGAAAGACCTGAATGATTTATATCTTCGAATATTACTTTCCATCCTGTGCAATTAGTGAGAAATGACTGGTAAGTCTAATCGCATTGACATGGACGAAATTTCTGTCTTAATATCATTACTATGTTTTCTTAGTTGCTGTATCAAATAAAAATATTCATATGCAGGGTTTACTAAACCCAATCAATGAGCTTCCTGGCTAACAAGTAAATTATCTTTATATTTGTAGCTTTTGTTGTTAGAAAAACCAACACTTGTGTAGAGTAACTACCAGTGCTAGCTTGTTATCACAAACATTTGATGGTGAGTAAATTACGGGTTGGGGAACATTACTTGTTGCTTGTCAGCAAAAGACTACTTCGTTTATCTTTTTGGGAGTAAAGCTTTAAAAAAATCAGATTTATGTCGGTAAGCGAAGCATATTAATAAGACTATAATGAGTAGTTGCCTCGTATATCAACTGGACTTTTTCTTTTATTTCAGAAACGTAGGAAGCTAGGGAACGAAAGTTATCATACGGGGTTAAATATATATGAATATATCGCTATGCATAATCTCTATGGATAAACAGTAACATTAAAAGGGCATCATTCCATTTTCCTTATTTCCAAAACTAGCTACTTTTCAGGGATTAATAAAGTAAATGACTTCATAACATTATGAATTCATAAAACTTCAAAAAATATCTAGAAAAGATAGTATGCCGAACGAGGAAAATAGCGCACGTCTAGGCTAGCACGTCTAGGATACTGCGTATGTTGCATATCAGTAGTGTGATACAAACCACCAAGTAGCTGTTTTCTGAAATACTACCGTGAATAGTGCCTCACCTCTCTTCTGAAGTAGTGGCCCACTGGTTTTGCTCTTAACTAATAAGTAGCCGGTTGAGACACCGTTTCCTTTACTTTGTTTTGAGCAATTAGGTAATGTCTTCAACCCTCACACCTGAAGTGTGGCTCTTAGCGAAGTACATGAATCTGTATCTGGCAAACTACTTACTAGTAATTCTTCATTTCGAACCCAAATGTTACAATTACACAGAAATGTACTTTTTCTTAACAGTAAAGTAACTTTTTATTGCTATTTTGACAGAGTATACAAATGTTTCTGTTAGACTAAGTGGCTTTACAATTCATTTCACTGTTTACGCAAACTTCATTTTCTGAAATAAAACTGTACATTTTTGTCTTAGAAGGGCTTAGGCTTAGTAAAAGCCGTGTTACTGTATTACTTGAGACCTCGTGATAAGGCAGTTTTTGGATGTAGTTGTTAGAACTTCTATCCCAAGTGCATTTCCGTACAAATGCGTGCGATTTCGTTGAAAAATACAATAATATTAAACAGACTATTTATTAACTTACACTTTTAACACTTATTATCATTGAACGAAAAGAGAACCATCCACAAAAATGAACCCACACTCACACCAATCGGTTTTGAACCAAATTTGCAAAGTTGATACTTGCAAGGTCGAAGCAAACAAACAACTCCTATAACAAATAGACCTTCGAATTTTATCTGGTTTCCGGTTCAAGGACAGAAGCTCAAAATTATTTCATGTTATTTTGTGTGGTAACTATTACGCTCACAAACTTAAAGCGAAGCACTGAAAAACTGGAGACACAACACAGCAGAACGGACTGTAAAAATACCTTCTACTCCTTAAGAGTAGTCAAATGCTGGAATTCTCTGTCATCTGAGCCAGCTCAAGCGATTTTTCAGGAGTCCTTCAAGAGAAAACTTGACATATTCCTAAGGACTAAGGATAGAATCTTACCATGATTTGCCAACACTTTATCTTTCCTCTTTTGTCAATATTATACTGTAGCTGCAAATAACTCCCCAAAATCAATAGCTCATTAAGTGTTCGGCATTGGATGATGACCACATTTGTTTAAGTGGACTTGATTAACTGAAGGCTTTCGATCATGCATCCGTAGCAGATCGCGTTTCAACTTGGCGTGGGACAAAGCTCCTACGTTTCTATAGTTAGCCAAGAACGAACGCCTCTCAATATATTGGTAACGTTTCAAATATATCTTTCCGATCTCTGACTTCTGATTCCGATTGGTTGGGGAAAGCTTCGAATAAAGAAGGTGTTTCTGGTTGTTAGTTGTCAAACTAGAATAACAGTTGTATCTTCAATACCTATGTTCCTACCTGGGGGTATCAGTGATCCACTACTACCAGATAAAGAAGCCCATCAAGCAAAAGCTTTTTCTATTCCGTCGAAAATCATTTGAACCATTCGAACTCTATTTTATAGTGAATGAAGTCACTGATGAGACCAACTTTTTTTGTAGTAGATTTGAATCGACCATTACTCTGGGGATAAATCTGTAAATTTCAGATCGCTTATCATTATTCCATCTTTAAATTTCAATAAGCATCAACTAATCCTATTTTATATTATACTCTAAGTCATTACTGTATACACGATAGGACATTTTTCATTTTCATGGCTTTGAGGTCCATACATTCGAATTTTTATCTTTATTGTCGTTTTCCTTGTTTTTCAAGCCTTTATTGTGCGCATCGATATACTCCGCTGTCCCACCAATTAAAGTATAATAATGCGTTCGTACTGAAGTCGGTGTTTTCTACTACGTATCTAGCCACAAGTCTATCAGGACCATAAAAGCTGTTATAACGTTAGCTGAAAAAGTCTCTTCTATGACCTCTGAATATTATATTTTAATTCGGATGAAAAAAATATGTGTTATGTTTAAAATTTTCGTTGGTTCGGAATTCGTCAGCTTAGTGGTAAATATATTTCGTCTTACAAATTTTTTCTGTACTGGTGTTGTGAATTTGCTTCTAGATTTCAGAACTTTGATACCAATTTTATAAAGTCTTTTATGAAGCATAATTGAGGCCCATTTTGGTTTATTGTGTAACAGAGAAGGATATTAAAATATAGGAGACTCTCATTTTGTGACTAGTTCACTGAGATAAGAATGTATGGTGTTATTCCAAGTGCTTGTGAACCATGGATGAGACATAACATAGTGAAGCTCTTAGGTCATTTTAATTGGAGTCGACAGGTGAATTTCACCTGAATTTCCTTAAGCATGGAGATATTCCCTACTATAATGGCAAGTAAAAAACTACGAGGAACGTGCATCCTCATTCACGTGCAGCTCCTACCAAACGTTTGTTTCATAAGCGCAAGGAGGAGTAATGTACTTGATAATATAAGATAACTTGTGTTTAGTGAGATTAAGCATGGTTTCAATTCTTATGTTTATGTAGCCATTCCACTATATCCTGCTTTTCTTGAGGAGGTTTTGTGATTTGAGGATGTGACTTGTTTGGCCTTATTTGTTGTCCTATAAACAGTGTTAAGTAATTTTGGTGTACTATTAACGTTAATATAAAGAGAAAGTAATTTGTTTGCAGCAGTTGCCACAAGAACTTATTTTGTTTATATAATCAATTTTCATGTTGAAGCTTGCTAATTTTTATCAGCCTTTTTCTTGTTACTGACATTTCTAGTTGGGTGAGATTAGCCTAAATAACTGGTATGGAAATCTTCTGGTATTTTTGTGTACTATATTATACAGAGGATACTAGCTTTAAATGTTTGACCAAATATCGTGATCATATATTCTTTGAAAATAGGGAGAAGTTTCCAGTTAAACTCTTCCCCTACATCAAAATTTCAGAATTATTGGGCTTTCATAGTGTCGAATTGAGTGATCATTGGTGTAAGCCAAAAGCGTTTTGTGTGCTGATTCATTAAATAACGGTTCCATACTGTATACAACTTGTCTTCCTTAAGAATCGACATATGTGTTACCAAGAACGAAGCATCCCAACATCTAATCCCTAACTTTCATCCTTCAGTGAAGTAAAATAAAACATTCTGGATATGCTTTTGCTGTAGACCGTAGCATGTTTCTGTGTCTATTCTACTCCGTTTCTAGTTGTCTACATCGATCAATGTTTCAGGGTCGGCTTATTTATGCTTGGTACTCCGCAACATGAGTTGTGTTAGAGTTAGTTATTGTCCGAAACATTCTCGGATGCTCAGGTACCTATGTTATCACATCAAATTCACTCACAGCCCAAACTGTTTGCGAAGCCGGCGGGTACTATCAAGTTGGGAAAAGATGATGAATGTGTAATGACCTACTTTTGTGACGAGAACACAATTAGTATAATGGAAACAATTATTATTATAACCAATTATACCAGTGATTGTTCTACTGTCCCTGTTTATTTAAGTATACAAAACACACACTTTTCCTTCCGTTGCCTGTGACCTTGCCAGTACTCGCTTACGCTCGGCAGCTCTGCTCGTAAACTTCGGCACGTCTCGGTATTCTCTCGATACCACGAGATTGCCAACAAATATATCTTATTTCAACCGTCAACAGCCTTCTGGATTTTGGCTTACCGAGGGATCCAACTCTATATCTGTCACGTAATGTTGTAGTGATTATCATAGTCAATCGCGACTTGACGCCATCTACAAATATCTGAAAGTTTATTTAATATTACGAATACTATCATTGTGACAACGGAAATACGAATATTCGGTACGAACGCAGAACTGACGAACCAAAATTTATTCGATTAGACCAGACCACGTTCTTCTGTCTAGCATACAAAGCATTCTCGAGTTACTCGTATTAAATTATATCAAAACATAAACTCTGTTTTCAATTTAGGCGATTCTAATTTAAGAAAGAGGACAAACTATATCGAAAATTCAAAATGCCTCTTACGGTACAGCCTGTTCCATGCAGTCAAGGGTTTCTCTAACACATGCTAGTGTGCTGAGAATCAATGAGGATAGTTTCAACAAGATGGGATAAAATATCTGTCTGCAAGGATTACGGTAACTTTTCCAAGCAGATGGAGGATAATAGTCATGCACTGAACCATGTCGTGACCTTGAGTTTAGTCTAGTACGACCCTATGGTTAACAGTTCGGCAACAGCAAACAGTAGGATTAGGTAACAAAAGGTAAGTCCTTAGCCAAGGCCACGCAACAAAAGATCGAGTTAGGAAGACTGAAGAACATAAGTAAGGTTAAAAGAGATCTGAATAAAGGTAAAAAAATACAAGAGGGAGAAGAAACAAACAAATGACAATGCTGTCCAACGAAATACTTTGGTGGGATTTTCAGAGTGTTCTTTCTGTTATAACCTTCAATCGTCCGTTTTTATCTTTTGATGCTTTCTTCTGGTCTCCAGACGTGCTGTACATTCGATGTACTGAAAATCTTCATAATTGTTGCAGCTTGGGCTCCACGTTCAGCTACATACTACTTGCGACCACGCTTGTGGGTAGCGTCTACAACAACAGTATCTGCTTGTTCTCCCAGCCTCCTAAATTAAAAGCTATGCTTATGGCAGCAAAGTCAAGTTTATTTCCCCAGTCGTATCTCAGTATAAAAGGTCATTGCCACTTTCGAATTACTTCAGAATTTCTGACTTCATTTGCTTTAACTCTAGTTTTAAAACAAGACTCCGAAATTTTTGGCCTATCTCTGCATCGGGCTGCCGGCGACTTGAGTGGCTTCGTCACAACTCTCTCTTTGGATGTACTATAAATGAAGTTGGGTGGACAGGAAGATCTTATGAGAACTAACAATGACTGTTCCCGATGAGTCATGACAACTTTATAGGGACAAATAAACCTGGTTCTTTTTTATAAACTCTCTTAAAATATGAATTTGAAAAGATATGTTTCAAAACATCTCGCCACCAATTTTTTATAGCCGCATGAGACAATTTTCTACACTACTTGAGGCGATCGTCCGTCTTTCATTTGTTACATTCGTGACTTATTCGATATACTAAACTGTGTTATGAAGATGGGCTGTTATTTGGAGCAGAATGCAACCAGGTAAATGATGTAGCAGACCCTTGAGTTAAGGGTGACCGGTTTCATTGCTGAATAAAATCTGAATTTCCAGTCAAAATCATTAACCTAAATATAATACAGATTTGCGCACCATTCCTAGCTACTCAATTGTAGTCAGGTAGCCCATATCCACCAGTAGTCCCCAATCATGACAGGTAGATTCAGCTTGTTCTTTAGTTGTATGAAAAATGGTTATTGTTTTAAGTGACTCTTGCAATCAAAATCTTGATCTATTGTGTTTGGGATATTCATGTTGACTCTTGTGTACTAAACAGTCATATTTGGTAGCAGTACGTTATTTTGTACCAGACAAACTTTTGAATGAATAGTGACCGAAAGGCGTTATTGAACCAATTTCGACCTGTGATATTATTCGTTATTAACTAATTGCATCCCGGAAATTCGCTAACAAATTTGTGCTTCTGTGTGACTTGAAGTGGTCATGGATACTCAGAATTTGATAAGGATGACGTCTAGAATCTCTTCTAACACCGAGTTCCCTAAGGCAACTGAACTAGGATTCAGGAATAGTGGTTCATTATCGTGTGTCTGGATTTAGGGTCAATGTATCGCCGAGCATAGCATCTGAATTGACTGGCTGTCAAAGGACAAACACAGCATAGCGCGTGTTTGAAAAGAGAACCTCGCGCTCTAACCGTTCTGTTTCATGATCTTAATAAAGATTCACTGCAACCAATTGTTTGGCTTTTTACAGATAAAACGAGGGGTCACTGCCTGCACTGAAAGGTGTTCTTTCGAATTTGGCTCGGAACTTGCCACTTTGAGAATGTACATACAAATTCGGTTTCAGTAGTTCAATAGCGCCCATCCTTAGTACCGATCCAATGTTCCAGTGAAATGTGAAGCACCGCATGCACTTTTAAGTTCCAATACTAAAAGACTGTTCAAGTGTTCAACTCCATAAAAATGTATGAAACTTTTGGTAGAGTCTCTTTCGCTGATGTAGAAGAAATAAACTCTACACAAATCATCCACCTGAGCTAAAAATCTCTACCATTTTCAAATGATCGATATATATATATCTTACGCTCCCTGGAATCGAGGTCAACCTAACATTTAGTTTCGTCTTTGTCCAAAATTTTTTCAGTTGGTCATTTCCTGGACTCCTTATAACATAATAATATTTAAGCAGCCCCAACTGTTTGCAACGGTACTGACTGGTTACTGTGGGATAGTTAGTAACCTTGTTATGGCCTGGTACAGTTAACAGTGAACGGTCCACTTGTTTCTAGGCTTGCAAAGTTCTCATGTTGCAACCTTTTGGTTAGGTGAATCGCCTGGTAGCAAACATCTTTCCGGATATAAATCGATGCTAACACGGCTAGTACGGCAAAATCGCTTATTCTCTCACTATTGTATATGAACGTTTTCTTCAAGACCTATTATGAATTTCGATCTTGATCCATGAACAAAAAACTGAACTCATTTTGGAATAAGTAAGGCATTCTGTTCATTACTTCAACCAGAATACTATCTCCACCTGTCTGTTTGTTTTCATATAGACATCGGCGGAGATGACTTTGAGAATTATTCCGCTCGGCGTCCTTCGATAATCGTTCCTTAGTAACAAGCAAAACTACTGTAGCTACGAGGGTCATTGAACGTGCTGGTGTTATCCGATAAATCACCATTTTACGGAGCTGCAGCTCATTTTAGTTTATTTTATATTTTAATGTCAGTGGATATCAATATATGAAGGACATGTCACATGTTTTAGGCGGCATTTAAAAGATTGTCTAGCTGTTAGTATTTTATCGCGACACAAGCTGGTGTATTCCTGAAAGATTTTGTAATTCGATAGAGTAGGAACTCCATCAGTAAACGGTCTCAAGAGAAAATTGAGTACTGACAGACTGACTCATCGTTTATTAGTCTATAAGGAAGTAGGTTGAAGGGGAAGACCGACCCATCATTAAATTGACAAGTTTACGACTCTATATTTCGTTCATTATCCTGCCACGTTGTTTTCATCCCTTTTTTAAGCTATCAGTTTTTTTAACACGACTGTTATTCAGTAAGTTTGGAAAACCTTTCTTTAATTATATCATCAATAATTGATCACATTGTGTCAGACAACTGACTACCCATAAGAAATCAATTGTTTGATTTTTTGATCATACAATCATGGGATAAGTCATTTATCCCTTTAGGAAACCTGTCAACTATTGATCACACTTCAAGAATATGAAGAAGAAAATGTAGACTATGAAAAATGAACAATATTTTTTAAAACGTGGAAACTGATTAATCAGCTCAATTTAATTTTTCATTTGGGCAGCAGACGTGTTTTAGTGCACCAAATGATTAATTTTATCGCGTCCTAGAAACTGCACTATCTCGAAGTGTTTTAACATACGGCTTGCATTGTCGCTGGTTATTGTTTGTTGCTTTACTTAGTAAATGTGAGTGCATTATGTTCGTTTTTGCGCCTTTGAAACATTTTTCTTTTGCCATTTTCTTTTCGAGCCTTCCTTACTCTGTATGTTTCCTCATTACAAAAGGAACTTTCAAGCTAGACGAAAATCACTGTGAAATTTTAAGACTTTTTCAAAATCTACAATCCGTCATGTTATTTGTTATGTAATGGTTTCATTTCTGCTTAGTAGTAAACTTGGAGGCGACTGCATGTTAATGGTTTTTTTGAAGATGCCATGGGTATTTGTAGTTTTAAGACGCTTTAACGAGTAACACCTATTATGAATCGTACCCAACTAGTGAAATCGGAAGTCAGAGGCGAGGATGTTCGAAGACATATTTGACAGGCTACCAACGTATTAAAAATCAGCTGATCTAGACCGGCTAGCGATTGCAGGTGATGATGCAACGGATGTTCTAGTTTTTACAACTAGCTACCAGTAGCACCTTCTATATTCGATCGTTCCCAGTCAGATAGAAATCAGAAGTCAGACGAGAAGAGGCAGAAAAGATATATTTGATTCGTTACCAATATATCGAGGACCTTTTCTATGAGCTGGCTAATGAAACGTAGGAGCTGTGTCCCACGCAGTGTTGCAACGTGATCTGGTGCGGATGCATGACTGAAAGCCTTCAGCTAAACAAGTCCACTTAAACAACGTGGTCGGCATCCAATGTCGAACACTTAATGAGCTATTGATTTTGGGGAATTATTTATAGCTACAGATCACTCCCCCCTAGTGAGGTAGTGATGCCCCTAAGACGTGACCAGCCAGAAGTTTAAACCCAACGAGTTTGTCATTGGTAAACACTCTTCTGATAGCTTGCTTCGTTTAGCAGCGTCTGGTCGTCTTTCCTTAAACTATGGGACCAAAATGTACAACATAGCAATAAAGAAATATAGTACAATGAAAAATTCGGTTCCTTGCGAAACTTCGTCGTTCTTTTCCAGCCGTTCTGGAAAAGTGGAAAAATAAAACGTGCGAGTGCATGTCGAAAATACACTTGTACTTGCGTAAGGACACAAGATGAGCGGGAAAAAATAAACTAATACACTTACAAACAGCGTAAAAGCGATCGGAAAAAAATGGTTTTCTTTTGTTGTTATTTTGTATATAAAAATATATATATATACGCTCAAAAAAATAATAATGTTTTTTATATAAATAAAAAAAATGAGCATATTAAAAAAATTTATTATAAACTATGAAAGGGTAATTCAAGATAAAGCTTATGTCCTACGTGCAATATTCGTTAAGATGTTCTGGAAATCTTACTCGTCTTCCAGAACGCGTTGTTTTAGGTTTTTCTATCGACGTTGACGAAGTATCAAGTTGTGTGTCTGTTGTCGTGTAGGGTACTACGAGTGTAGTAGCTGTGTTGTTTGCTTGTACCGAAGGAAAATCGACGTAGCTAGGGTTTCCTTCTAGGTACGCAGCTTTGAGTCGATAGATACTGATGCTATCTTTCGTACCGTTCTTATCGACTACATAGTACTTAGGTTCGCGTTGAAGAACTTTGAAGGGTCCTTCGTATGCTGATTCGAGGGGTCGTCGATGTGAGTCTCGACGAACGAAGACGTGTGTTCTATGTCGTAATTCGGGTTGAACGAAAACATCAGTTGATTGAGGTCGAGTGTGAGCAGGTTTAACTAAACGCATAGCGTTTGTAAGCCTACTCGTGTAAGAGTTTAGATCCATGTTCAATGAAGAAGCTGAAGGATCCACGAATTCTCCTGGGAGTCGGAGTGTCGTTCCGTAAACGAGTTGAGGTGCCGTGTATCCAATGTCAGCTTTCACTGCATTGCGGATACCTAGCAAGACGAGTGGAAGAGCGTCTGTCCACTGTGAAACGTTTGAAGCTGATAATGAAGCTTTTAGTTGTCGATGAAAACGTTCTACCAACCCTTTTGCTTGTGGGTGGTAGGCGGTCGTTCGGAAGCGCGTGATTCCTAATAGTGAGGTTAGACAACGGAAAAGTCCAGATTCGAACTGGCGTCCGCGATCTGTAGTGATTGTGGAAGGGCAGCCGAAATTTGCTAGCCATTGTTCGACGAAAGCGCTGGCCACGGTTTCAGTAGTAATGTCTTTAATCGGTACTGCTTCTGGCCATCGAGTGAAACGGTCTACGCATGTTAGGATATATGAGTATCCGTTCGAGTCGGGTAAGGGTCCTACCAAATCTAGATGGACGTGGTTGAAACGAGCGTCAGGGGTTTTGAAAGAGCCTAAGGGACATTTGTTGTGTCTTATGACCTTAGATTTCTGACAGCTTACACAGGAGCGTGCCCACTCCCTCACGTCTTTATTCATGCCAGGCCAACAAAAGCGTTCGGCTATAAGTTCGATTGTTGCACGAGCACCTGGATGAGAAAGATTGTGCAACGTATTGAAGACGTTGCGGCGATAATGTTTTGGTACAATTGGACGATCCCTACCTGTAGATGTGTCACAGAGTAAGGTTTCCTTACCTGTTTCCATCTGCCTAATACTTAGTTTAAGAGTTGTCGAGGATAACTCATGCTGAAGATCAATGTCTTCTTTTTGAAGCTGAGCGAGTTTAAGAAGGTCGATTCCTTGGAAACTGTTCAAGGAGCTAATTAGAGACAAGGCGTCTGCAACTACATTGTTTGCTCCAGAAATATGTTGTATGTCTGAAGTAAACTGCGAAATGTAGTCGAGTTGTCGAGACTCTCGCGGTGAGTACTTGTCTGAAGATGAATTTAAAGAGAAGGTAAGAGGTTTGTGATCGGTAAAAAGTGTGAATTCTCTTCCTTCGATGGAATGTTGAAAATGCCGTACAGCACAATACATAGCTAGGAGTTCCCTACCGAACGTGCTGTACCTAGATTCCGCGTCTAACAACCGTCTCGAGAAAAACCCTAAAGGTTGCCACGAGTTGTTAACCCATTGTTGTAAGACTGCTCCGATTGCTGAGTCGGATGCGTTTACTGCGATACTAATGGGCGCTTGAGTGTCCTGATGAGTAAACAGGGTTGCTTTAGCGATGTGTTCCTTAACTGTGGAGAATGCTTTACGGGCTATGTCGTCTAAACTAATTGATTTCGCATTTCCACGAAGCTGATCGGTTAACAGTTTCATTAGGGATGCGCATTTGGGTATGAACCGTCTATAGAAACTTACGAGTCCGTTAAAAGTTCGTAACTGCTTGATCGTGGTCGGTTCTGGGTAATTCAGAATGGCCGCCACTTTGCTCCTAAGGGGTCGGATGTCTTGGGCATCAATAGTGTGTCCTAAGAAGTCTAAGCAGTTAGTTCCGATTTGGCATTTCTGAATGTTGACAGTAATGCCATGCCTTTGGAGTCGATCAAAAACAATGTCCAGATGCTTGAGATGTTATTCTCTGTCCGGACTTGCTATTAGACAGTCATCAACATATGCATGTACGAAGTTGAGACCTCGAAAGACGTCGTCTATAAACCTTTGAAAGGTTTGAGCCGCATTTCTTAAACCAAAAGGCATTCGTAGAAATTCGTAAATACCGAAGGGAGTGATTATGGCGGTTTTAGTAATGTCGTCAGGTGCCATCGGGATTTGGTTATAAGCTTTAACCAAGTCGATTTTCGAAAAGACAGTTGTACCTTTCAAGGTAGCTGTCAAATCGTGAATATGAGGCAGCGGGTAACGATCGGGAATGGATTTCGCATTGAGACGCCGATAATCACCAGTTGGCCGCCAATCATTGCTGTCCTTTTTAGGGACCATGTACAATGGGGATGCCCATGGACTATTCGATGGTCGGATTATCCCTAGGTCCATCATGTGGTCGAATTCGTTTTTAGCTAACCTAAGCTTCTCGGGAGCGAGTCTTCGGGCTTTCGAAAATACAGGTGGTCCTGTAGTCGAGATGTGATGTGTAACATTGCTGGTTACACAAGGCAATTTCGATTGCGATTGGTGTATCCCGGGATATTTGTCGAGTACTGATTGGTACAAGGGGTCTATGGTGTGCTTAATCGTGACTGGGGATAACCTGCAACCAGAACAAGGAGTTACGCAAACAGATAGTTTAGTGTTTCCATCTATTAACCTTCGTGAGCGTGTGTCGATGAGTGGATTGTGGTGTTGTAACAGGTCAATACCAATGATTGGCATAGAGACATCTGCAACAACTAAAATCCAGTGTATGGGTTTGCGTAAACCCACGTTAAGGTAGACGTACCTTTTACCATAAGTAGCGATCGGTTTTCCGTTTGCCGCCTGTAAACTTAAAACAGATTCGCGAAGTCTGTCGTCGGGATTTGCTGGAAGAACGCTAACTTCTGCGCCAGTGTCGACGAGGTAGCGAACTTTCGTAGTCACATCCGTGACATATAAGAGGCGGCTGTGTTCGTCGGCTACGGTTGCCGTTAACGCGTGCCGGCTGGGAAGTTTCCCGAACTGTTTTTCGTGTCACTCGATTTCGGGGTCGGATAATTGCAGGGCTTTCTGCAATTTCTAGAGGATTTACCGTACTGGTTATGATACCAGCACCAGTCGGGATTGTCTGTCTCTCGTGGTCGAGAGCCAGATCGCTTACGTGAGGCGCTTCTACGCGGGGTTTTTGACCGACTACGGTCATTGCGAACTCTAAGATATCGTGTAAGCGTGTGACAGTTCGGCCATGTCAGTCGAGGTCGATTGGGGTTTTCCTTTGATGGAAAAACCTCGGCCTTAGAAAATTTGGTGATTTCCAAGATTCGATCGGCAGATGCAGCTAGTTCATCTATGGCATTGTTTTGAAATGAAACAAGCACTGCCTGCACCTGTTGAGGGAGTTTAGACAAGAAAAGTTGTCTTAATAGGCCATCATCGAAAGTTCGTTGGCCGATGACTTCTCTCATTCTAAGTAACATGTCCGTCTCAGAACCATGTTGCAAGTCGATATTGTTAAGGAGTTGGTCTAACCGTTGTCGATCAGTTAGGTCTCCGCGTTTCAAAATCGATAGTTTAAGCGTTTCGTAAGGTTCAGAAACATCACTAGTAAACATACTAGGTGTTACGTACCTGTTAAACTCGCGCGGTAACGCCTCAACTACCGCGAGGAAACGTGTGCGCGAGTCCGTGATTCCGTGCATGCAAAAATCGGCTTCTGCATAGCATAACCAGGACTCGATATTGTCGGGCCAAAATGGTGTTAACTGAATCGAAATAGGGGGAATAGACTTTAACTTAAAAACCTTGGGTGAGTGTTACTTTATAGTAATATAGATAACGAAAAATGTCTAATTAAAATATATCCGGAAAAAAAATTGCGAAAAAAAGTATATCACAATATATAAAATTCAGATAAAGAATAACAATAATAATATTACAAAATGGAACAGACTCACAGTATATTGACTTGGTGTACCAGATCACGTCGGTCTCACCAATGATGATGCAACGGATGTTCTAGTTTTTACAACTAGCTACCAGTAGCACCTTCTATATTCGATCGTTCCCAGTCAGATAGAAATCAGAAGTCAGACGAGAAGAGGCAGAAAAGATATATTTGATTCGTTACCAATATATCGAGGACCTTTTCTATGAGCTGGCTAATGAAACGTAGGAGCTGTGTCCCACGCAGTGTTGCAACGTGATCTGGTGCGGATGCATGACTGAAAGCCTTCAGCTAAACAAGTCCACTTAAACAACGTGGTCGGCATCCAATGTCGAACACTTAATGAGCTATTGATTTTGGGGAGTTATTTACAGCTACACAGGGTCTGTTGAACACGGAGTTCCCATTCGTGATCTGGTATGGATGCATGACCGATCGCCTTCAGCTAGGTGATTCCATTAAAACTAATGTGGTCAGCATCCAATGCCGAACCCTTACAAAGCTATCGATTCTGGGATTTATTTATCGCTACACTTTCTTTTGAACTTAATGATAATATCCGCTCTCCAGTTATTGACATCAATTTGTAGAGCTCATAATAGCTATATCAGAAAGCAGCAAATAGTGATCTGTTGTTATTAAACACCTAAGTAAGCCAGTTGTGTGGTCTGCATGTTAATGAAAGAAAATTATTGAATTGATCATATCTATGTACTGTAGACGACGTGTTCTCAGCCAACACTTTAGAGAGGATGGAAATTAAAGATGGAGCTAGACATAAAAAGCATGAGAGCAAGCGTTGAGTTGAATTAGTGACAATAATTATTACAGAATACAATTTAATTCTGTTTTGATTACTTGGCTCTCGATTCTGCCTCATCAACTCCAAGTTATGCACAGTTTGTTAGCCTTGCGCTTTACAATGTAGTTACTGAATTACTTCAATAGCCTGAGGTCATATCAGTTTACTTAAACTATGAAACTGATTATTTAGCTACAAACTTTATGCTCATTATGTCTTCATGTAAAACCAACACGACCCTAGAAAAAAATTGGTTTTATAAAACATAAACATTAGTTCAAACTGCTAAGGTAAATCTTTCTTTTTCGTCAAAAGAGACAGGCTAAAGCAATGATATGAAATTACCCAGGTAATACAGTTATTTATCGCCAGATTTTGATACAGTTTAGTGAACAGAAGCTCTTTTTTCCGTAAATTTAGATCCATAAGATTAATAGCAATCATTGTCTTTATCTTCACGTTTATTGCGCCTGATGATGATTCTTTTACAGTGTGTTTCTTTATTACTACATGACACGTACTGTTCAACTTATCAATATAATACTTCTTAACTTATAATATCATAACTTTAAAAAATGCACTTCTGTACAACACTGGAATATTTCATTAGAAGAATAACACTGACCATACAAATTAAGCTGTCTTATGAAGATTCATTCATATTATCATTTGACCTCGAGCTCTTGAAAAACTGTTTCAATGGTTTTATCAAATGGAAACGGTAACTACGACAATCACAGACCTTCCTAGATTTACTTCTGCATTTAACGTTTTCAAATGATCCTCAAAGTTGTGAAACTATATTCTCATAGCAATTTGACAAGTAATGTCCATTTTCTCTTTTAAGACTTTATTTCAGTATTAAGTCAATGTGGCTTCTTCAAATTAAGATCAGTGATGTCTAATCAATAAGCTAAAACTTTAGTACGAATTCACGGTGTGGATTGTGGATTCTTCAGTCTTACTTGCTGAGTGAGCATCACAGTTGGCACATGAAATTGTAACTGAGTATCCATTAGAGGAAGTCCTGGATCGTTTGCTTTATATCTCTCATTACTTTTGAATATATTGTTAAGTACAGTGAGACGTAACTTATGATCAATAACTTATGAATCTAGTGAAAATATCCTCATTCGATTGTTTGTTTTCTAGTTATCGGCGTTTGTAAACATCTTGACCTGATAGTTCACTGACAAATCTCTCGGTGGTAGATCTACTGACCATTGGATGGCATCAGTCATTAATTTGATATTTGACAAACTCATAGATGCGTTTAATAATGCTCTTTCGTTAGTCTGCAAAATTTGTTGCTTCAGAAACATGAACTCAGCCACTATTGTTATTTTGATTTAGCAGTCAATAATTTTGCAAATGTTTTTATGTATCTTATTTTGTTGTGCATATTTAAACCTGGAGATTAAAAATATATTTGAAACTCATAAATATAATAGCAACTTACCACTGTGATGCAATGGTTATTAAATTCTTGCTGTATTTACATTTATTAAACTTCAACTAGGTCTGTCAAAACTATATAATCTGGCTAACTGAACTGCAAATCTGTATTTTCTATGACACATGACGGATTTTCATTGACAATGAAGTCTCTTTACCAGCTGTTCAGACATATGTAAGGTGGTAGTAGGTCTGAGGGCTTGTGAAATATATATGTAGACCAAAGGTGTGATCAAAGATGTCCACTAAACATTGCTTGGGAAACGTGAGAACACTGTGTTAGTCATTTTGAGGTTGAACTAAGGGTACTAGGTAGCAGGTCGGTTGGTGAAATTCTAGATATTTATCAATTGAGGTGGTTGGAATATTTGTTACAAATGCTCAACTACTGCCTACTTCGATGTATAATTTTTTACTGTCGTGGGAGTAAGTCGAAAAAAGTCTGGGCAGTCCTAAATCGGTGTATTGGGTCAACTAATGAAGTCAGTGACTTGGTTTGATGTATGTTGATAGGTAGGAAGTATGTTGTTGTGGTCCTTGCTATGACCGGGTTTATTGGTTGGAAGCATTAGTGATATGTTTCAGAATCAATAAGAATGATGCCAATCAACTAACTCTCCAACTTCTCGATCTTGAATTCTAGTATCCCTTCTATTATACCTTTCCACACCGTCTTTTTGAACCATGGTTTTAACGTTTTGTATTTCTTATTATGATTGATAATATCATTATTTTAACTCCTTTTCTAGTCATATTTTTATTTTTATCTCATTTTGTTAATATGATGTGGCAGCTTGAGCTAAAATACATTCACTTTAGGCTATACGATGATTATAACTGACTGACTAACCCATTTTTCTTTGTAGAATTTTGAACAGGAGAAAAATGTTTAGTGTGAACTGCTCACTTGATTTCCATATAGTTACTTCAATCCATCTATTGATTTATATCGTTTGATTACTCACTCGCAGTAATTGTTATACAATGTAAGTTATGTGTTTTATCATGAAACAACCAAAATGTAATTGCTTGTAGGATAATGTAAAGATGATTAAACGATGTGTACTGGTTTATGGGTAGTAACTTCGTATTTAGTGGTCACTTTTCTAAAGTCTCAAAAGTGACTTTTAGAACCTAGTTTAATCCTTATTACGTTACTTTGTTGTTTTGTTATTGAATTGAAGCAAAATGAAATCGAATTTCATCCTTTTCGGGTGACATATTTTCACTAAACTGTTTGAAATAATGTATTTTTGGTAGAGTAACTGGTTTATAATAAAAGTTTTATTCATCTAATTCAAGTCATTAGAATACTTTTGACGAAATTCCTAATTTATTCCTCAATTACACTGAAACATTTTATTAATTGTTTATCAGTTGAAAACTAAGCATTTTATATGACGAGTTCACTACAATTTCTCAGTACCTCTCGATTAGAAGCCATTTCATATTGTCTCGTTTTATTTACACCTTCATGTCTGCATAGTTCGGAAAATTTCATTTAACTGGATCCTTGTAGTTACATTGAAAGCATGAAGTTGTTAGTGTTTTATGATCTCACTCCTACCCATATCTTAAGTTTTGTATGAATGATGTGGAAACTTAATAGTGATATAACATTCCACACCTGAACACGATTTCTAGTCGATATGTGATGAATACGAACTAAACAGAATATGATGACCTGGGTATTGTTTCTTCAAAAATATACCGTGTCAAATATATATGATAGGGAATAATTAAAAATCTAAAATAAAATAGAAACAATGACTAGAATTAACGCATTTAAAAATGTATTAGTGTCATTCATCATAAAAAGTGTAACCTAGAACTGAATACATAAACATGTACTTGATATATAAGTTACATTGTTTGGTAATTCAAATTTTTGATGTCGAGGAAGTATGACAATGTCATTCAAGTCTATGGTTAATGACGGAATAATTTCGAACTGTTATCATTCTGTTACAAATAGGGCGAGACTAAACTTTATGGATAATCTTTGAACGAATCTTAATTGACTTTGAGAAATATTAGCCAATCACAGTTAGTATACAGTAAAAATATATTATACAGAACTATAAAATTAAAGCGGATACTGTTCATTTACAGGGCTTGAAAACTTCTCAAGGTCAGATACAGGCTCAGAAGTTCTAAAATCATAATGCATACGGTACAGGAACTCATCTATATGGCTCCATAGTGGTCGACCTCTGGAACCATGATAAGGTCTCAAAACTTTTTTTAGCCTCGACCACATAGCTTCAATGTTGTTGGTATGTTGGTATTGTTTAGGCTTTTGGGTAAGAGTTAAGATTTAGGGTTAAGGGTGAGACTATAAGTTATGGACGACCTTTGAGCGACGCTAGAGTGAACCTGAGAGTGTCAACATAATAACTAAGACTTAATGAGGGTTATAAACCTGTGTGAAGAATTCAAATTATGATTTACAGTTCATGGTTAAGGTTAGTAATTATACTTAGTGTTCTCATCACGAACTGACATCAGCTATAATGCAAAAACTCTATTTATCCAAATGGATAATTGAATTTCGCACCAAAATCTTAATAATCACTTCTCTTGTAGACGCTGAATTATCATATGTTCTCTAAACTCCGTTGTAAACCGACCGTACGTAAGCATTAGGTACCGAACTTAGCGCCGTGACCTTGAAAACCAATGAAAACTTATGATTAGCTGCTCCATAAAGTTTAGTCTCGCCATAAATAAATTTTACTTGATATCATAGACATAGAATTAATGAAATTAACTTCTTGCCAATCTTACCATCATTCCAATTTGATCATTTGTTTACGTAATGTTTCCTATTTCACTGATATTTTATTATACTACTTACAGTAATAAGCTACTGAAGTAAATCACTGAGTAAATTCGTCTATATTTTTTTCTGTACTTGCCCTTCAAATGAACTAATCTAACTTTCTTTTTGTTTTCAGTTCAATATACCAAGGGATTTCTAGATACGTTCAAAAAATATCGGATTTTCAATGTCATTCAATCTTCATCAATCCAACTATACATCTGTAATGGAGACTAGAAATTACATTCATCTCTTACTAATTTAGATAAAAACAACCAGTAGAAATTCTGCCAAAATTTTACTCCCATCTAAGGCATATTCTAATAAACATTGTAAGTGTAAATTAATTGTAGCAGATACTACTGGTGATGTACATTCATTTCAATATGTGAATGGACTAAAGGTAAATAGGGAAAAGAATAAGACATTGTTATAATAAATATATATTACTTTATTACATTCTAATAGCATACGAAATTTTCTGTTAAATCACCAATTACTTGTATTGATATTGGAACATATCAAAATAATGAAAAACAACGTATCATTGTTTGTCATAATTTTAATATATCTGGATTTACGCCAAAAGGAAAACAAATTTTTGAATATGATTCAAATATTCAAGGTCATGTGGATTCAATGTATGTTAATGAGTTAAAACAAATGATCATGTTTTGTTTTTTCTCTTCAAATTGTTTAGATTTATAGAATCTACAAATATTTATTATACTGTAGGATGTATGTACCAACAATTAACCAATTTTAAAGATACTGAATTTCTTTTATTACCTGATATTATTACAAGTATATATGTGATCAAAAATGATACTATATGTTCAGTACCTCTTGTTGTTCTTGCTTGTAAAGATAAATTAATACGCATTTTGAAAGTAAGTGACATCTTTAAAATTTTTTATTATTCCATAGTTGAAAGCATGAGTCAATTGAAGCTAGACCACCATAAAATCCTGGAAACAGTGGACGGCCGTTTCATCCTATTATGGCACTCCTCAGCAGTGAGCATACATGAACCCGCACTCGTGAGATTTGAACCCAGGACCTACCAGTCTCACCGTCCAGTGTTTCCAGGTTTTCCATGGTGGTCTAGTTTCAATTGACTCATGCTTTCAATTATGAAACATACTAAATCTCCACAAAACCCCTTCTGATAATTTTCTATTATGTTTCATAAGAACTTTGATACTATTGACTATTGTTTTATTTAATAGAATGGTGTACTGCTATGCGAATTGGAAATTTCTAGTTCACCAGTTTGTATAAATAGAGCTCATAAAAGTTATCCTTCAAATTATTTAATGTATGGAACGTCAGAAGGTCATTTTGGTCTTTTTCAAGTGACAAGGTAAATATATCTTTGTTAACATATCTGTAATTTAATTTGTATAAAAGGATTCTTAAAAAAAGACATAATAGACTGAATAGATACATTTTAAATAAATTTTGCACTTTATATAAGTGACTGATCTTAGTTGTATACTCTTTGAAAACCAGGGGTATTTTACAGCTGTTTCGTTCAAATATGAGACACTACACATCCATGACCTCACATGAGATGGAACTTAGGATCCTTATTTCTCGCTACGATGGTTCAAACTTTAGACTACTGAGTTAGCATCCAACGGTTTAGTTTTTTAGTTTCAATCAATTCACGAATGATTGTTTAATTGACTAGAATTTTATTTACTATAATTAATTGTTGATTTTAGACAAATATTTTGAAGTCCTAACGTTATATTGAAATGTATGAAATCAACCATATCAAATGATCAAGATAATCATATCAATGACAAGCTTTGTTAATATAATTGAGAGAGCAAATATGAACTCTCTGTAATCTGCTGACCTAATAACTGCATAGCAACATGGTTACTGATAGAGTTGCAGATTCTTAGTTCAAACCTGTAAGAAAAGAGGTGTACACGAGAGTGAGAAGTCATAGGGTTTCTGTTTTTTTTTTTAATGAATGTTGTTAGTTTGAAATGGTAACTTTCGTTAAGTTTACCAATACCTCTGAAAACACTGCAGTATAAATAATTCAAGTTTGTCAATTTGTTTGGCTTATTGAATATATTATATCCCGTGATGCTAGAATAATGGGAGCACATTTACTTTTAGACCTGAACGTTATGAGTTCGATCTGTGTTGGGAGCTCGCGAGTGTGGATACTAAATAAGTCATATATATCAGTACAAACCAACTACTTATTGCCTTATACTTTTTGGTAGTTGGGTAGCTTACTTAAACTTTCTTCAAGGCAGATAATCTGGATAAATCTTCCACTCTGATAAGAAGCATTTCATTCGGCCTTCGTCAACTCATCCTAGTATTGATTACTTTTCCATGATTAGTTTTTATACAGATCTTGCTCCTATGTAGCTACGTGGGTTTCTTGAATAATATTTAGAAGACAAATATTCAACTTCGGTATTTTTCACATTCCGTCTTTAGTTTTGCAGTAGCTTTGTGAAAGATGTTTTTAGAAAATTAAATATATTTTCCAATAGTGACTAGGGTTGTAATTTAGAACTCAAGTTTCGTTGTAGCTGTTATCAATCGCAAATACACGTACGTTGATCTCGGTGTTGATGCTCACAGTGAAACAAGAATTTATTATCTAGTTCCAAGACCTATGACAGCCACCAAATTGTTTAAAGGTTACATACTATTATTCATTAGGATTTATGTTTTCGTGTTGTTAACATTCTGAGGTGTATTCAAGCAGTCTCTTTTGATGTAACTATTAAACAAGCTAAATATGATCTTGACTTATTAGCTTAGTGGATAACTCAAAGTTCAAAGAAATAGGTTTTGGGTTTGTCAGTGGTATACAAGTACATTCAGCTGATGATACCCATACTGTAGGTTCCACTGTTAGAAACTAGTGTCATATTCATGTAACTGCAGCAGTATTTATTAAAACATCCATTGAACGAACCGCTTATATAAACAGATACTGATAAAACACATTGTCGTGAATATTGACAACGAAAAGACAGAGATCATTACAGATAGTAATTTTATCGATTTAAGCCTCCCTGATAGCATTTTTTATTCCACACTTTATACTTATCACTACTATTATTGTCATTGTTTTGTTTAGTGAAAATGTCACAAGGATATGGGAAGCCTCATCAACATTTGGTACCAATGAAATTCTCTCACTGGAACATTATGATATGTTGAATTATATTGATAACAACAGCAATAGCAATGATGATGATGATAATGAAAATACTGAAGATATACTAATTGTTGCTTTTACAAATGGAAGAATCGAACTATATAAATATGATCAGTATAAATATCCATTACTGATGTATGAAACGGTGAGTGATAGATACGTTAAATAGTTTTATGGAGATTATTAATATATTGGGAGTTTGGTAACAGAGGAACCTTTCATCAAGAACTGATATTATCTTAAGAAGCGTTCAAAACTAGACTGCATCGGACGGATGTTTCTTCCTTAAATTAAATAGATGTCTTCAGTAGCACTCAATCATGGCTTCAAAATATGAGATCAAACTCATTACTTTCAAATCCTGGTGATAAGATGTAAGCGAGAGGTCAAGAAATTACTGGCCTCTGATATTCTGTGGAGATCTTGATATATGTATCAGATAATTTTTATAATTGAAAATATAATTTGTTGAATACTAGTTTATTGATTCATGATATCGTGCTTCCTGTATAATTTAAGGGTTTTGGGTTTGATTTCCAGTGAAGTTATGGATGCGCACTGCTGAGGAGTTCAATACTTTGACGATACAGATGTTTAGTGCTTGTTGGTTTTCAATGGTGACCTAAGATCTGTCCTTGATGTAAACTATGAAAACTAAGTAATTATCGATGAACACAAAATACAGTGAAGAATGGATTGAGGGTCAGCGAATAGAATTCAAAAAAATTAGTCCCTTTGATAAATTTTGACAACAGAATTCACATAAACTAAATTAATGTTACAAAAATTCACCATAAAACTATATTGTGATACCGTTCATACCAATTTATGTTTGTAGATTTCATATCCTCAATAGAGTGCTGATGTACCCTATGAGATTCAAACCCAGTTTCGTGGCCTGGGATGTTGTCACTGTCTATAACGATTGTAACGATTCAGCTAATTGGTAATGTTATAACGTATACCCTCTTAATATATATGAACGTGCAATTACAGAGGAGTGGATTTTATTGATCGGACGCAAATGATACTTGAAATCGTACGAGCAGTCTTGAGTGTGTATCGGCCCTGCTATCTGCCTAGCCCAGCCAGTTTAGTGAAGAACACAAATAACAGCCTCGGCAATATGAATCATTATTCACAAGCACACTGGGTTTTTATACAAACCAAAGTAATCAATAACCTGATTATAACTCAAGAATCGTATGATAATAAGTCAAAGGTCAAAATAAAGCTAATGATAAGAGAAATACGAATATGAATAGTTCAGTTACGTAATAATTGTACAATAGAAAATAGACATATTACATTGATCCATAAATAGACCTAAAAGTTACCATTCGTAATTCACCGGAGGATATAACAGGTAAACGTACTCGAATGTACGTAGCTTGTTGAACTGTTAATTTGTACACAGAATTCTAACCGAATAGTTTTCGAAAAATTAAAAAAAAACTAACCGACTGAGTGTATATGCATATACATATTAGACATTCAAGACAGTTATTATTGATAGACAATTATTCAACTCAAATATCATGACCTCGAGCTAATTATCAGTTGTTAAATGACTAATCATGGTTGAAAATAAGTGTCAAAGGAAAAAATAACCAATAATTATTTTCATTCCTGCCTTTTTTAACTATATTTTCGCTGTTGACATTACTAGTCGGTCTAAGCTAAATCACCATTGAAAATCTGGGAGCACTTGATGGCCGTTTCGGCCTGGTATTGAAATGCTTAGCAGTGCGCATTCTTGGCCCCACACGCGAGAATGAAACTCAGGACCTTCGGTCGCGCACTAAAGATTCACTTCTAGACCCCCTGATCGGCATCCAGCGGTGTTAATGTCTAACCACAACCAATCCACGATCTTGCGCAACCATTTACTGATCATTGATTAGTGACATGTGCCAAGTTGTCTCGTTCTCAACGTTTATCAAATTTTATCGATGAATTTTCCAAGTGTATGAAGATTACAACAGCGTCTTATGAGAGAGGACAAACTAGCTTCCAGCTGAAGAGTGAATTAAGAAAAGACGTTGGAAGTGGATAGGACATACATTAAGGAAATCATCAATGAGCATTACAAGGCAATCCCTAACTTGGAATCCGGAAGGGAAGTGGAAAAGAGGAAGGTCGAAAAACACTGTACGTCGGAAAATAGAAGCAGATATGAAAAGGATGAATGTTAACTGGAAAGAACTGGAAAGGTAGGCTCAGGACAGAGTTGGATGGAGAATGCTGGTGAGCGGCCTATGCTCCTCTAGGAGGGGTAACAGGCGTAAGTAAAGTAAGTAATGAAGATCACAGTGAAATTTGTTTGATATAAAGTGACTAAAAGCAAAAGACATAAAACCTTGGTTCTTTTAAGCTAGATATTACTCATCAGCAAAAGTTACTTACAGTTATTGAAAAAAACGGATACGTCCCAAAACAATGTCATTCGGTAACAAATTCATCCAATGGTCTTTGTGTTACTGTGGAAACTACCCAGGAATGTCATTTTGAATTCATCCTGTTTGAAGACTATATATTCTTTTAGTCCCATAGTAAAACGTATGTAGATGTCATATTTACACTAAATTTCGTATTCTTTTACCTAGAACTTAAATGTCCCATCTACTTTTTTCACGTTTTAGAATGTAAATTATCATTTAACATCCGTGATGGCTGGTCGATTTTCTAATGTAAATTATCCGGAACTTTTATGCATAACATATACTGGTATGTTTTATTTTTATGCAAATAATAAGGAAATCTATTCAATCCCTTGTTCCGTTATGATCTTAACCCCCTAGTTCTCCAAACCCATTACACTATCTTCTCCTTCTTTTGTACTCAACTATACTTTTATCCTTAACCTACTTATTTCTTTCTTCATGTCTTACTTGATTACACTTCACTTCGGTTTCTAAATTTTGTCTTATCATGTTGCACAACTATTTTTCATTTTTATTTATTTTATTTTTATTTAAACACGTAAGTATTGGTTCAAGGAAGCACCAGATGCATATGCGCCGCACAAAACTCATTCGATTTGTGTCAGGGCTGTGATACTGCTCAGGTGCCCAAACTGAAGCAGGTGGTTATCTTAGGGTACCATACCCGGAGCCTTTGACCTGAATGTCTGATCCACAAGGCAGTGGGGCATCGTGAGGAGATGCAGTCCCATGATTGCCGGTGACCAACAATTGTATCATACGCCATTCGTTCCTTCAGGATACTGTAGCCCATGTGTACCATTGGTTTGTAATCAGTGTTTTCCAACTCGCCTATGTGGATCTTCAATATCCATCAACCCGGTTAAAGCTCCGGATATTCACTTTTCGTCCTCTCAATTTCGTAAATAACACCTACGCCGCGAGAAGGCAGTGAGTAGGACTTCCATGGTAGAGGCTATATACGCGTGTCCATTATGAGAGCATTGCGAGAGAGAGAGAGAGAGCGGACTCTCCCCACTCTTGGCCGTACCAGGGCTCTATTTTTCATAATTAACGGTCTTTTTCAAAACCTTGCGATGTTGTTCATAAACATGCAAGTTCTCATCAATTACATTTTCAGTGTATTTTGATAAGAATAAAATTTTCTTCCTTTCCCGTTACTGTACTCAGTAAATTCCTATTGCTGTTGAAAAAACATGTCATTGATTATCGAATTGAGAGTTAAACAGTATGCATTTATGTTTGTTCAGCTCTGTGCATAAATTTCCTCAAAAGAGAGAACTATTTCACTGTAACAAACTAGAAATTTGAATTCCAAGCATTCACGTGTGGCCTGACAAATTATTTTTGTACTACGATTATACTACTTGCAAATATAATAGTAGTCAAATTAGTAATCTACACTTTCATGACTTGTTTCTCAAGGTTTGATTTTTGGTTTAACTACACAACCAATCAGAAAAGAAATATCCTTAGACCAACCTGACCCAATGGAACTTCAATTTATGTCGAAAATGAATAAATTAAAGTGAGTTACCAGTTGCTGTGATGGTTGGCTTCTGTGTTTCCTGTTATTCCCGCACTTTCATCTCTGACATTAAGAATATTCCGTCTTAGGTCAAAGTAATAGAGATTTTGTAGATATTTTTACTTAGAAAAATGACTTGCAAGGGGTTTACAATTAGATGACGAAATTTGGTTCATGAATGGTTAAACAAAGTTTATTATATAGCTATTTTTTGTTACATTTAGCCAATAGTGGTCATGTGGTGAAGATAACCATGGCGTTCAGTGTCAGTTACGGTAATCCAGGGTGTTTTTTAACATGTTCTGATATAATGGGTGGTTTAAAGTATTTTTCTCACCTGCAGGTATACTAAGACAATACGTTTATACGATAATGAAGCCAATTACGTCATATTAGACTCAGGATTCACAACCCAGAATAGAGAACCAGATTAACACTAGATAATACTCTATTCAACAGTCACAGGCAATTACACTCAATGAGTTCGGAGTAGAAATCAGTAACAAGACAGGAAATCACATATTTAATAGTCTGTAGGCTATGTCTGTTAGTCAGCGCTCAATGATCAGTCACATTTTCATCTCACTACTGCACATCAGGTTCCAAACCATCTACTACTGTAGTCAAAAAACCTCAAGTTTTATTTTCAAGATGAGTTCGATTGATAGTATCTCTCCTCCTTTGCTTTGTATCTTGTTAACCCTATCCTGAGGTATGTGTCTCAAACCAGAAACTTAAGTACCCACTTATATAGTATAACTCTTCTAATCCCTTTTTGTTGCGAAACAGAAACATGTTATTTAGAAAATCCGTTGGGAAAAATATTTTTAAAGTATTTTAAGTGATCGAATTCAATGTGTATATAAACAGAACAATTGAAATAAATCCACTACTCAAATCATTTTTACTACTTAAAAAGGTTTCGGGTCAAGTTACATTATTGATCTGAGCTATGAACTATCTTCACTGTTAAAATAGATGTAAAATGCTTTTACCAATCTTTAAAGATAATTCATTAATAAGTCACTTTGGATAACGATTTTATGCCTAGTAGATTTTTTGTTACTTTATTCTTGTTTTTTTAATGGTGATGTCCCAGTCTTGAAGCTGGGTGACACGGTATCGAATTCGTCAGGAAGCTTCAGTTTTATGATGGTTGTGTGCAAAACTTCCTGATGATGAACAGGTGGTACAAAACCGAGATCAGGGAGACTTTTCGGTCGACTACGTCTAGTCACCTGACGTCTTGACATAGCGCACATGGTGCCAAGTCGCTTAGACTAGTAGCTACAATTCAAGTTAATCAATGGAATTCTATCAGTACGTAAAGGGCTGAATAGACATGGCACTGGTTACTATCATTGACCAATTCATTATGATCTCAGTCTTGTGAAGGACATAAAATTTGCATTGGCAAAGTTTTGTAAACTACATTTCTGAAATTGTTTTTCTCCTGAGATCACTTTTACTGAAGGATTTTTTTAAACTAAGAAAGTGTTTTATTAAGTTGACCCTAGAAACATGCAGAATGAAACCACAAAATTGTTTTTTTTTTCTCACAAAATTGAAGACAAAGTCATTCTTTGAAAATACTCTCTAATTATATCAAATCAGTTATATTATTTTCCATTTCTATTGTTACAATAATTCCCTGGAACAATTTAGATGTCGGATGTCAGTTATTATTTAAAGAAAACAGTTAATGTTTATTGATAAGTAACCGAACTAAGACAAATTACCAAGGTCAGATTGACTTTAGTTAGTGATGAAAGGGGAATCATTGTTTGCAAACTAGCTAGTATTTGTCTATAACTAACTATCTTAGTAGAATGATTTGTGTAATTATTGAACAAATCATTGTAATTTATCCTTCAAAAAGTTAATGAGGTGAGATTATAATTCATGGACGACCTTTGAGTGACTCTAAACTGACCTTGAGAGTGTCCACCTAATATCCAGGACGAAATGAGAGTTATAAATCAATGTGAATAATTATAATTATGATTTACAGCTGATGATTAAGTTTAGGAATTAGATTTAGGGTTTTTCATCACGAACTTATATCAGCTATAATGGCAAAACTATATTTAGTCAAATGTATAAGTGAATTCCGCGCCGAAATTGGAAACCTGTTATCTTATACCTGATTGGTTCGTTCATAAATTATAATCTCGCCGTTAATGCTTTTTTAACTAAAATTTATTGTAATTTCAATAGTTGAGATCATTAGTCAATCGAAGCTAGACTACCATGAAAAAGCTAAAAGCACTGGATGGCCGTTTCGTTCTACTAAGTGTTGGGGATGTCAAATCCTTAGAACTTTCTCGGTAAATGGCTTAATTTTGTAATTTTATTTTGAAAATTTGAATTTCTTTGTTTTCGCGCCATAAGCGCTCTTTTCACCTTCGGGTCAAATTTCCCTCTTGTAAAATATCTTAACGCTATTGGTCCATTGTTTCTTTGAGTTTGTTATTTTGTAATACTGCCCAAGGGCAATTCGTCGCTGTATATATACGTTTGATTTTTTCCCCCTTATGATTGCTGTGCTTCTGCCTGCTACGGAATATATTATTCCCACTTCTAGCTTGAACTTCTTAATCTAGTTAGCTGGAACTGGGTTGCGTCAGAATAGCTAGCTTATCGGTCTCTAATCATAAGTCTTTGTTCCGTTCGCTAACTAGTGAATTCGAAACGCTTAAGATATAACACTGTGAGACTCATCAGTAGTGCACATCCACGATCCCGCCACGCAAGTTTCGAACCCAGGATCTGTTAGTCTTGCTCACGAGCGTTCAACTTCTAGACCACTAAGCTGGCATTCAACGGTGTTAATGTCTCATTTAACTGTTCATTTTTCATAATGAATATATAAATGGTTTTTCAATTGTATGTTGTTCAATGTTTATTTTTCTTTATTTTTGTTTTAATTATCAAACAGTGAAGAAATTTCAAATCTAGAAAATCAACTACAGTTAATGAAATTAAAACAAGATCAAATTAAAAAACAACAAATTCATTTAATCCCATTAGAATTAATTTATAAATTTTATTTAAATAAACAATTATTTATTTATTGTTTAAATATAGAAACCCAATTACCAATTGATCATATATTAATACAAAGTGATTGTCAAATTGATTTATTCAGTATTGAAGAGAATACAGCTGTGAATAGTTTAAGTGAATGTAAAAATGGTGTAAGTGTTCATATATTACTTACTTTACTTACTTACTTACTTACTTACACCTGTTACTCCCAATGCAGAATAGACCGACGACCAGCATTATCCAACCCACTATGTCCTGGACCTACTTTTCTAATTCTATCCAGTTTCTGTTCATTCTTTTCATGTCTGTCTTTATTTCTCGGTGTAATGTGTTCTTTGGTCTTTCTCTTCTCCTTTGACCTTTAGGATTCCATGTGAGGGCTTGTCTTGTGACGCGATTGGGTGATTTCCTCAAAGTGTGCCCAATCCACTTCCAGCGATTCTTCCTGATTTCTTCCTCTACTGGAATCTGGTTTGTTGTCTCCCACAGCAACATGTTGCTGATAGTGTCTGGTTAACGGATCCGAAGTATCTTGCGTAGATAACTGTTAATAAACAATTGTATCTTGTCGATGATGGCTTTCGTAGTTCTCCACGTCTCCGCAAGTGTTCATATATATGTATATGTATATTATCAAGCTCTTTGTGTTTTACAACTAATTGTGTTAAATTGTAGCCGAATGGATGACTTGGTAACGTATATCGGGATGAGACCGCCAATCAGAGAGCAGCGAATGATCGATTGGAATAGTAACACGCGGAAACCTGTACGAGTAGTCTGGAGTACTTATCGATCCTGCTTTCTGCCTAACCCAGCCAGTTAAGTCCAGAGCATCAATAACAGCCTCTGCGGCATGAATCATTATATTACAAACATACTGAGTCAATATACCAATCAGACTGACCACATCGCACCATAAAATAAAAAATAACATTTGTATAAGTTTTGACCAAATATGGCTGTGAATGTGGGAGGCACTAATTAATAGACTACGGATAACTCAAGAATGGCAAATCGTACAGTAATAGTCTATAGGTCAAAATAAAGCTTATAATGAGAGGAGCATGAATATGAATAGTTTTGTTATTTAGCGATTATACGACAAAAAATATACGCATAATATTGGTCCATAAATGGATCCCAAAGTTATCATTCACTATTTTTATCGGGAAATAATACCAACTTAATGTTTGTTTTTTTCTATTAGCGTGTAGTAGGAATCTAGTGGTTATGTAACTAAGTTTAAACTTTGAAATGTATTCACTCTATTCCATTTAGGATAATAGAGTAGTATGTAGATAACCTTAGAAAAAAAAATTGGTATCAATGATAATTGATTATATAAAAATATGGTTGATAGTTCTAGAATTAATTAATTTTCAAACTATGGCTTGATAAGTTATACTGGTAAAACACACACAAAATACGACCAATGTTTTTTTTTAGTTTATTTAAACCTCTCTGATTGACCCAGCAGTAGGTCGAATTGTCCAGTAGGATTATTCAGGCTATGACTCTGCACGGTATAACATCTATATTAAAGTAAACAAATGCTCAAGCGAGGAAGATCAATTTATTGTTTATTACAAAATTGCAGAGTGATTTCACACAATACGATAACAATATGTTAAATATATACTTTGTACATCTCCCATGAGTTGTCCTGTACATACTTTGTGATTCTCTCAAGTCTGTTGTTATTACGATCACTTCCTGTTTTCTTCGGTTGAATCCTCCCAATCTTCTGCAGACATACATTCCAGTTTCATGTTACATACTACTTATGTCTATCAACATAGCATAGCATGCATCACATTCGTCCTCCCTTTGAACGAAAGTGACTCTTGCGGTCGTTCTGCTTCTTGCACTACGAAATACCGAGTCCTCCGACTCTTTGACCACCGTAGCAATATCAACCTGCCGGGCCGTGTAAATCCGATGTCTACCAAGCGGCTGGAGGCCTCGCTCCTTTCCGCGGACGGTGACTGCTATAGCCAACAAGTCCCACCAGAACAATCTTATTTACATCAGGTTCCTGCATCGGACCTTTCTAACTAGCTCCTCTCCCGGCCCCATAACGCTGTCTGCAGAACCTCACCCTCTCCGTCTCTAGTTTGGGAGCCACACTAAATGTAGTGAACGAACACTGCAGTGGGAAAGATCAATTTATTGTTTAATGTACAATCACACAGCGGTTTGCTAAAATGTGAAAACCATACATCAAAGATATCGTTTGCACATCTTCGAATTGTCTCTAACAAGCCTCATTGTCCCTTCATTTCTACTGTCATCTTGATTGCTTTCAGCTTCCTTCTCTTCATTTCAGTCTTCTCAACTTCCTGCTCTCAGACATTCCACTTCCAGCTGGTGCTGCATGCTATATATATATATATATATATATATATAAATATATATATATATATATATATATATATATATATATATCTGTCAACATAACTAGCATGCCCCACAATATCACTGACCAATCGCTTAAAATGCTGATTTATATTTTTAACCACATGTTCATTCTCTTCTACTTGATTTTGATTAGGACGGAAATGTATTATTGACAACTTATCGGTGCCAAGTGAATACAACACGGTTTGACATTCAATTTCGTACGGTTGAAGGTCAATACGGTTATGTATCTGTGTATGTAGTACCAAAAATAAATTTATCAACTATGGTCGCATGTAAATGTATTAAGTTATTAATACATCCATTATCATTACATTGTCTAACTCATCACATAGAAGATGAACCGTTAAAAAGGTGAGTTTACTGTTTTACTGGGATGATTGGTATGGTCGAATGGATTTGTTTATTCGCTGAATTATCCTCCGAAATCTCTTGTAGACTTAAAATTTCAGGGGAAAAAAGTCACTGGCCAACTGACTGAATCTACACTTTCGAGAATCCAATCTCTGATTTTCATAGTTATGATTAAATGTTGAGGATACGACTAGTATTCTAGTTTAACAACTAGCAACCAGTAGTATCTTCTATATTCGATCGTTCCCGGACAAAGGAAATCAGAAGTCAGACGAGAAGAGGTAGGAAAGATATATTTGATACGTTACCAATATATCGAGAGGCTTTCGTTCTTAACTGACTATTGAAATGTAGGAGCTGTGTACCACGCTCAGTTGCAACGTGATCTGGTACGGATGCATGACCGAAAGCCTTCAGTTAAACAAGTCCACTTAAATAACGTGGTCAGCATCCAATGTCGAACACTTAGACAGCTATTGATTTCGAGGAATTATTTACAGCTACAATGTCGAAAGGTTGACCAAAGTCAAAAATGAATGTTACCAAAAAACAATGAGACTAAACTTCTGCCAGTCATATTATAGTTGATATTACAAGTGAAGCATGAATTTATTTGTTAAAAGGATATTTTGACAATGTAATTTGATATAATATGTGATGAGGAATAATGAAATGGGTTTTAACAATTAGATTATGTAGTATGAGCTTCCCTCCATTTCTTATTTTAATTTTGAGCTGTTGAATATTGTGTCAGTGGTCCTCATATATCTCGTTCGATTTGCGTGAGGGCTGTGATACTGCCCAGGTGCCCAAACTGAAGCAGGTGGATTTTTTAGGGACCACACCAGGAGCCTTTGATCTAAACGTTTGATCCACAAGACAGTGGAGCACCGTAAGGTATCCGGTGACCAACCATTGGTTCATATGCCAATTGGTCCCTCAGGATACTGGAGTGCATGTGCACCATTGGTTTGGAATCAGGGTTTTCCAACTCCCATAGGTGAACTCTCCGTGTCCATCAACCTGGTTAAGGCGCCGAACATTCACTTTTCGTCCTCTCAAATTCGTAAACAACATTAGTGCCACGAGAAGACAGTGGGTAGGACTTCCCTGGTAGAGGTTATATACGCGTGTCCATATGGGAGCATTACGAGAGGGAGAGTATGGTCAAATGATTTATTCAACATTTACCAGATTTTCCAATGATCTATTCACATTGTTTATTGATTCATCCTAGTGTACACACATAATCTGATTCTAACTTTGTCTAACACGAGGTACCTAGGGAATAATTTTTTTATTTTTATTCCATAAATAGGCCCTGGAACAGTTTACAACTAACTGGAAATTTCTCTTTAATGGAAATGCATACTTGGTTATCTATGTGTATACCTGAAACACCTGAAAGGCCTACATTAATGAAATCGGATACATTTCAAGCTGATAATAATGACAATCAATATATTGAAGAATTTGCTCGACTGTTCTATAAATCAATCTATCTTAAAAGTCAATTGAAATGCGTTTATGGAAAAGGTTATGCTAATCTCCAATCGGACAATCTCTCTACAATTGCTATATTGAAAGATGTCTTAACTAAAGAAGCTACTAAAAAGAGAATTCAATTATCAATTAACTTAGGTATTTTATAATATCTTATTATCAAATTTGAAAGTTGAATCAACTTGTGCTTAATCATTTACTGATAAGTTAGTTGGTATAACTATAAAAGGTTGAAATCATAGTAAAATAATTTTTACAAAACGTTTAAACTACTTGTTTAATGTATAAGTAGTTAAATCGAACCAACCGATTAATAATAATATGGCACATTTCTCTTATTAGAAACTTTTGTGAGCCTTTTTCTAAAAAAAGGTGGATTCATATTTAATCGATCTTTTATCATTTCAATCGCTTCATATAGTTACTTCTCATAGTAAAGGGAAACTTTTATTTCATTAGTGTACATAATGATATCGCTACTGATAGAAAGTTTCGAAAGTAAGCTATGAATATTGTCAGAAGGGGTTTTGTGGAGATTTAGTATTTTCATAGTCGAAAGCGTGAATCAACTCGCGAGATTCGAACCCAGGACCTGCCAGTCTCGAGCCAGAGCACTTAACTGATAGTGCTCAGGTGCGAGACCGGCAGGTCCTGGGTTCGAATCTCGCGAGTGCGGGATTGTGGATGCGCACTGCCACTGATGAGTCCCATTATAGGACGAAACAGCCATCCAGTGCTTCCAGATTTTCCATGGTGGTCTAGCTTCAATTGACTCATGATTTCAGCTATGAATATTGTAATTAATTCCATATAAATTCAATTAACTGATTAGTAAGATCTCCTAGATTATTGTATTCCATGAACATATGAAATTTTCCTACCAATATTTGTAGAGACCTAATATCTGGAATGAAGTTGTATTTATTCATAAGTCAAAATGTACCACGTTTGGAACTCAATATCTTTCTTCGAATCCGCTCAATAGCGGTTTACTATTGCTACGAAGCATACAAATTTAATTTATAGCAAGTCAAATAGGTTCTAGATGGAAAATCATCAAGGATTATGCAACATTGAGAAGGTTTTGTTATCTCATTATTTGGAACTTCTTGAAAGTGAGATCCTCCTGGTAATCAGGTTGGTGACCTTTGGATATTTCAACAAGTGCGTTGCATGTAGAGCACTGCGTTGTAATTCAGTGAGCTAGGTTACGAGCCTCATTCACTTCCTAGGTATAACGTGACAGTTTGGGGAGCCATAATATATTCCACAGATATGTCTTCAGCTGTTTTGTCTTAGTCTGGGACCGGGACTCCTCTGTGACAGTGATCACTATTGATCCCATCTGAGATGGTACCCCGTAACATCAGGTCTATTGTTGAAAGTTTAACTTTTGAAATACTTAGTGGGTAATTTGGGGTGCACTTCTGTGGCGTATTCATAGAGGGAAGATATTTATATAGCTTTAGGTGGTTCAAATTAAATCTCCATTGAAAATTATGCTCTTATATGCAGCATTTACCCACTAAGTGAATCGTAATGTGATTCGAAATGATGAATTTTACACGTGTATTGAATATTGGTTGACCGTAGACCTTTTTAATAAACGATTGTTTCTTGCTATTTTGATGTCCCCCGTCTCCTTAATTATAAGCTACCATTTCACTTCCTATTAGTTGTCACAACTTTTTACGTCGTACCAAGACAGGAATTACTTCACTTAATGATTAACTGTTTATTTAAGCTGTATGAGAAATTGTGGAAGTTCAGGTTGAAATCTGTAAAACAATCATTAAAAATTATAAGCAGAGGTGGATGTTGGCTACTCGTGGAATCTAGGATGTGCGTTTTGTTTTATTTAAGACTGGTCATTTGGATGTACTTGTATCCCAGAGTTAACGTTTATTTCAGAAATCGAACCCAGTACATTTTGCTTCAAATGACGTTGTGTTAAGCAATCTTATTCCGATTTATTATTTATTTGTATCTTCTTTCCATACATTTCCTACTACTGAACTGTTATTTCGTATAGTTTATTTGAAAATACTATTGGAATTCAGTTAATCAGTCAGCTACAACGTATTCGTTCTTCTACATTAATTAAGTTATTACCAATGCGATCTTGTAGTAAAATGAAGCAAATTTCATGGTGCCTCTTAACATTTTATGGTTGTTTCACTAAGATCACATTGTTATAGATAGTGTACAACTTGTTGTAAATGTTAATCAACACCACTGGATACATTTCGTATCAGAACAAGTATAAAACATTAACAAGGTTAAATTTATATCAGTCTGAAAAGTAATAGTATTAATAGTGGTTGAAAAAACCCAGTAATAATAAGCACAGTTTGTAGTAGTAATGTAATGTGGTTTGCTTATATCCATATAAGTAGTATATGGTGTTGGTCAGACATAGAACGTATTTCGGCAGAAGATCGATAAAGAACGAACAGGAATGAAACTCAATCGGTACGAAAATGCATGAACAATGAAATCAGAGAAGACGGACTGATATTTGCAGAAGAAACAGTGAAGATTAAGACAATTGGTTGTTATTTGGCAAATTAACTGCTTTCTGTATGGTTATCAGGATTCAGTGAGATAGTCTGTAATTTGAGGCTTAAATGCATTCAATTATCCCCCACTGGTGTTCTTGTTCATTACAATAAGAAGCATAAAATAATGCTAGAATATAAGGTTGGGAAGAGTGTATCTTAAAAAAATGACTACATCTGAGTTACTGTGATCTATTTTCAATTATATCACTTAAAACCTCCAAACATAGACCTTAACCAAAAAGACTACATCTATTGACATAATTCAGGCTATCAACAGGTGAATTCATTAACTAATGTTACGTTTAGGATTGTGCACCTTTGACTTTTTCCCGATTTCAACTGTTATTCAAACAAACTATTAAATATATGAGTAGACAATGACTGGGACATACATAACATATAACCTAACCATATGAGTCAATGAAAGTTTTTACTTTACCAAACAGTTTATAATTTTTATTAATAACTGTTATATCCTGTGGTCAATTATAATTGGTAACTTTGAGGACTATTTATTGACCAATGTAATGTGCATATTTCCTATTGTATAATTGTTAAGTAATTAAACTATTCATATTCATGTCCCTCTTATTATAAGCTTTATTTTGATCTATAGACTATTACTATACGATTTACCATTCTTGATTTATCCCCAGTCTATTTATTACTGTTCCCCTTATTCACAGCCATATTTGGCCAAATCTTGTACAAAGGTTATTTTATATTTTATGGTGCGATGTGGTCAGTTTGTTTGGTATATAAACCCAGTGTGTTTGAGAATGATGATTCATATTATAGATTGCTCATATGGCTTTTGTGTATCATTGCTCTGATCGATAATTCACTCCTCTCTGATTGGCGGGGATCAGCACGTCCATATATCAAACAGGGCATGCATGCAAGCGATATAGCAATAACATACTCCCAACCTCAATATTACTAACTCAAAAGTTTGAATATATGTGAGATATACATGAAAATTATCTAAGATTAATGATTAGCAGCTTGAGCATCATTACTTCTTACCTTCATAGACTATATTTCGCAACTATATAGTTATGTAGATTGAATATATATATATGGTATAATTTTCCTTTAATAGACAGATGGATATCTGACCTGTACTGCTGATAATGAAAGTACACTGAATATTGATCCTCATGAAAGATTCTTTTGTTTCGACTTTTTATTTCTTTAGATATACAGATGGATAGTGCAGAATACATGTTAAAGATGATTGACACCAAATTGATTTATCTTAAAGAATTAGAAGAGAAAGTAAAATTAATCAAACCAATAACAGAGTTGATTACAAATGAAATTCAATCTATTAATGAAATCCATAGAAATCATTGTTTTTCTGAACAAATTAGTAAAAATGAAAATCCATTACCAAATTTTTTACCATTAGAATATGCACAAATATGGCGGGATTCCGATAAATTAAAACAAGAATTCAAATATCAATCATGTCAATTAAATAGATATTATGGTAAGATATTCCATTTTACTAATAAAAACAAAACTCTTAACACTTAAGTTTTCTATACGAATTCACTTAAATGCTGTTAGAGGTATGAGGGCAGTTGTCAGTTCCCGGTTGCCTACACCGTGGAAGGGTTCTTCTAGAGGTACCTGAAAAAGAAATTGGGTTAGAAGTGATCTTAATGACCTGAGAACGTGACCGCATTGCCCAAGGGACAATTGCTTGAGATCGGTTACACATGACCTTTTTGTGGGTAATTTTTGTGTTAGCTCCGTACTTGTTGGGACCTTACCACCGGAGACGGATATCCGTGGGATAAGGCGAGGTGTGCACTATTTTAGGGTCGAAATTTTCTAACCACACCCCTCCTTGTGGGAAGACAGCATCGCTGTTATGCTGGTTGTCTGAAGGAAACACCTTACTGCTGTCACACCTCTGTACAGTCAGCAGTAAGACTTCGCCTTTTGACCTTGGGTTTGCTGCTTTTAGCCTTACCGCTCTTCAACCGCTCTGTCTGGTATTGTAGGACCTTGGGGAACGATTGTTCCATCCAGTATAGCTCGATTGGTTCATCACGATAGGCAAGCCCGACCACCACGTCAAGGTAGAAGCGACGGTCAGGTGTTCATCTTGGTTATGCTAACGAGGTGCGGCAACTTGGACCGATGCATAAATGTGCCTGGTCCTACGTTGTAGCTGACTGACTGACATATGAAATCACTATTGATCTGATGTCTACCGTATAGTATCACTTATCCCATCAGAAATGATGAAATAACTACATCCATGTAAATCACAATGTTTATGATTCGCTGCAAATAGTTCCTTAACAATGTGTTGTTGTTTTTTTTTATTTTCTCTTTTTTCAACTTTTAGAGTGTATTGTCAGTCTGTACATTGACAAATATCGTTTTCAAGGCAAAGATGTGAACTATAGAAAGAATGATTTACTCAAACTTTTGGAAAATTATAATTTGGATAAATTAATTGAATATTTTAACCAAGAACTATCTGTATAGGACTTGTTTTTGTTTGTTTGTTGCTTTCTGATCGATACCTTCATATTTTAGAGCTTGTAATCATTGAATTTCATAGTAAATACATCAATTTCATACTGATTTAATTTGTTAATAAGTCACGTCCTGAAAATTTCTTCATAAGATTTAATCTACTCACGAGTAGTTGAAGCAGTAATATACAAAATAATGAAGGATGTTATGATCAATACCTATGACAATTGATTGATCGCTGGGGGGGTGATTAATGTCATGCGTGTCAAGTCCTTCTCAGTGCTGATCGAATGCTATCGATTAAGTTGCAATGTGGCCACTAGTCTAGGTGGATCGATAATGAATGCTTTATATTGAGATAAGATGGTGGTTGGAGGTGGTCAACAGTAAATCGTGGGCAGGAATACCTCAGTGGTAACGTCTCTCACTATGAAGCTGAGTGATACGGGATTGAATCCGTCAGGGAGCACGAGTTCCCTCAAGATTACTGGTCAATACCTATATTTGTACTCAATTATGAGTTGGTCATATCTAAAAATAATGACCTATCTTTTTCAGTTTATTACATCAATAAACTAGGAAGGTGGTGATAAACTTAAAATTTAGTCTGATTCATATACTGATTTGAAAGATATCTATTTGAATAACAATAAAGAGAATTCAGCGAAGAAAATTTTCTTTTCGACGAAAACATTTACTTAATTTGTACATTCATATTTATAGTTATATGAAAAATATATGTCTATGGAAGGATAGAAAGGATTGCATCATAAGTCTATTCAAGACTCTTGTTATCAAATGAAGTTCCGCAGTAATCAAAGGAGTAAGGAAGGAATATAAGGATGAAGCTAATTTACGGATCAAATATCTCTTTGTTTGTAATTTGTTCGTTTACACAGTATTGATTGAATAAATTGTCGACTGTATGCAAAATTTACCATAAAAATAAAGTTTTGACCATACATTATACAATTGTACAATTTTATTTTTAAAAAAACGAGACGTAAAGCGCGTCCTGGATTCCACTGCCAGCCATTATCCATCTTATCTTACAATGCTTGTGAAATAAAGCAATACGCACAGTATGCACATATGCCAATAAGAGACTGACCACTTGCAGTCCTAAACATCAATTGGATGATTCAAACAAACAATACTAAGTGAATTTATACTATGAACTGTATTTCTCCATCTATTAACCATGTTTTGATTGTAAATATGTTTTAATATGACTGTTAGTAGAATAACGTAGTTCTGAATGTAAACATAATTTACAACATTAGTCGATTCGTTTCCTGGTGATTGGTTAGATGATACTAGGGTGTTCTGTATGTCTATTTCAGCCTATTTTAAAATACTTCAACTGTAAAAACTCAACATATGATTGAGCTCATAAACAATTCGATCTTAATTTAAGCATGTAAAATATTAAACTATCAAGTTTTCATTCAATGCTTTACATTTACAATAATTGACCATTAAGTACTGGCTACTGGTGAGTTCGTTTAGTTTTTAGTGTTGACTATATTCTATTGATAGTGATGAAATATGGTCACTAGTGTAAGTGATTCAATATTATCTTCGATCAATCTTAGCACGATTATTCCTAATATAATCTTGTAAGGATGGTTCGTTGGTAAGCTCTAGGAAGCCTCAAGAAGCCCAGAAAGAACCAAAAACCTTCCATCCAATCACTACTAGGGAAATATTCTGGAATGTTGACGTGTAGCTTCCCTATTGGATGGATAAGAATGACCCCCTATGTGCCTATTGGTTGTCCGAAATGATGATTTACTCTGAGCCAAAAACTATAAATACATGAGATTTCTGTGCTATATTTTGAGACTGTTTTGGGGAATAAAATTCCTACTTACTAGTCTTCTGTCTCCTCTCTTGCGACGTTGCTGGTTCGATCGTTCAAGTAGTCTAGTGGTATGCAGCATAGGAAGAATCAAAGCTCTAGATATAACAAATCTATGAGAACTAACATGAAGAATGTTCACCACTGAAGAGAATATAGTTATTCAATTATCTTTGATTTTGAATTACTCTTTAACTAATATAATTCAGTGTTTCAAATATACTTCAAATTAAACAACCTTCATACAAATCCTAGATTATTGAAGAACTAATTGTTGATTTCCTTGAAAAAGCTTGAATCAGATTGCCAAGCAAAACGTTGAATTTACTTCAAATTCATTAGCTGAGATTTTACAAATATCTTCTTTATACTATTTAATGTCTTACATCAACTCAGCGCCCATATACTGTGAAACTATTCACTCTAATTTAGACGAAAGTTCTTATTTATCATTGTTGATTCATTTGATAATAAACAATTTTTAGAAGGGGGGGGAGGGTTGTGGAGATTTTAGTAATTTTATATCGTTGAAATCATTAGTCAATTAAGGCTAGATCACCATGGAAGCACTGAACGGCCGTACTGCTGAAGAGTACCACAATAAATCATTTGTGTAAAGATGCATCACCTCTTTAAACTACTAGAATGGATAGATAAAATAAATGAAAATTGTTGTATTATTGATATATATATATAAAGGAATTAAGTAGTATTGTTTAGAAGTGACAATTTTGTAAATTAACAGAGTCAACAATAGTTTTTCAAGTTCCTTATACAAATGAAACAAACAGTATACAAGCTGATAAAGATGATGATGATGATGAGGATGACGATGTAATGATCATTGTATATTCATAGTAATTTATGTATCCAAATGACAGGTATTTGTATTTATTCTGAATGTATGTTTTACACTTTTCTTTGTATGTAAATCAGTTTATGTTTCCTTTAATGGTTAATAATTACATCAAGTTAACATTAGAATATACACTACTTATATAGATCAAGTTATTCAGTAGTATGTCTTCATTTAACTTGTTATTGTATAAGAAGGAATCAAAAACGTACTTTTCGAGGTAGTACATATGATTAATTCACTAACAATGATAGTGATTATATTTAACTTGATTAGGTGAAATATATATAGAATCATCTTGTTATTCATATGTGTTTGTATGTATAGAAATGAAGGAATCACTTGATTGGAATTTCGTCCCTTGTCAATATTCATCAGTGGAACATGTTTTTTATTGATTTAAATATACAATATGTTGTTATGTAATGATGTCGATGTCGACGACGATGATGAGGAGGATAATGATGATGACGGTGATGTTGAATCAACCATGATAGATGTCATTGTTGATGTTATTGATGTTGTATGTTCACATGGATCAGGAAATTGTGGTTCTTGTTGCTTTTGAAATTGATATTCACTTGGTAATGGAATCATAGAGTTTTTTAGAGTATCAGACATTTTAGTGAAATTATGATTTGTAATAATGACAGAGTTTTTATGGTTTAGTTCAATTTCAGTTTGATCAGTGTTTTGTTGTACACAGATTGATTCTATAAGAGACCATGGTGATGGTTGTGTTTCTACTGAAGCTATTGTTGTTGATGTTTCAGGTAATGTTTGTGAACAAGAGGAATGAAAATTGTAATTGAATCGGTCTTGTGATGTATTGGGTGAATTACCTTGTTCAAAGTTATAAACTAATTGATTGAATTCGTTATTTAAACAATATTTTTTCCATCCTTGATATGATGAATAAGTTTGTGATGGAGATTTGGAATAAATTATTTCAGAATTGTTTAATCTATCCTTATTTGGTGCTGAATTTAAATAACTATAATCATTGAGTCTATTCAAAGTCCAGGAGTCATGTATATTATTATTATTATTATTAGTGTCATTACTCGTATCATGTTCTAATTCACTATCTTCGTGTTCATCATCGTCATCATCATTGTTGTTGTCATTATCATCATCATCATCATCGCCACCATCATCTTCATCATTATTATCATCATTGTCACATCTTGGAGTTGAATACGATCTGGGATTAAAATATGAACATTGATTACTTGTTGCCATTGGTAACCAATAGTTACATGATGATGATGAAGATGATGATTCAAACAATGATTTTGTCCAATAATATGGTCTTGGTAATGCATCTAATATATTTATTTGATCAGTATTATTCGAGGAATAAAAATTTTGATTCAAATAGTTATTACATTGAACTGGATCATTGAATTTGAATTGATTTGGAACTATTTGGTTATCCGTAGAATTACTGTAATCATCTTTTAGATCTGTTGGCCATCCTTGATAGTTTACTAAATTATTAGGCTGTACATCTAATTTAATATAATTATTATTAGTATTAGTATTAGTAATATGTTTATTAAGATTAGTTTCAGGGGAACTGATTATTGATTGATTGATTGGACTGTTTGAGTTACTATTTGAATGACCATTCTCAAATCCAGATGAAGAGTCAACTGGTATATCATCTGAATTGATAAGAATATCAGTTTCAGATGGTATAGTTTTCATTAAGAGATCATGACAATCTTCATAAATATTCTAGATTAAATTAGAGTAAGAAACGGGGGGGAAAAAGAGAAAACTTTAAAAATATCATATTACCTATGTTTAAATATTCTTAGATGGACGGTGACAGTCAGCAAGCGTCAGTGATTATCTTAGATCTTAAGTTAGTTAGTGTATAGTGGTTGTGAGTTTGTGAGCTCAGTTACTCAATATCATAGAAGTTCTGTTGGATTGCAGTTAGCTGTGGAGTTTATTCCGCACGTTTCATCCAAACTGGGACTTGTCAGATGAATGTACATGAACCTCAATGTCGATTTACCCACCGACATTCAATCTCAGCAACCATCTTTTCAAGTATTAACACACTATAATTTGTGTTATTGAGTCAAGATAGCCAGTGGCTTGTCGACAAACTGCATCCAGATGAAGAGTCTTACAGTTAACCACTAAGTGTGACTAAATAACAATATCACTATGTTTTAACAAAGATTTTTTTATGAGCTGACATTCATCTTTTGTGTTTACAAATATTTTGTTTGTTCCAAGCTATTTTGTTTCTTCATAAACGTGGTCACAGAGTTGTTCTACTTGTAACTAACTAACCAGTTGATATGATGCTTAACTAAATTAAATCCAAAAATTGCTCACTGATGGTAAACTAATTTTGCATTGTTTAGTGCTTCTAGTTGACTAAGAATTGATGTGTTCGATTTAATCCCACACAGAAATGGTTTCATTTTAAATCGCCCACTGCCTTCATCTGACATGGCCACTGGTCTAAGTGATTGGATATCGCATGCACTATATTTTGATGTTAATACTTCTAAAGCTCTTGTGGGTCAGAATATTTGTACTTCTTCAAGTGGAGTCTCAGTAGTTAAAGTATCTAGCTAAGTCTCCTGTTCAAACCACTCCCCACTCACTTTATTCGGGGAACTGGGTAGTATCATTAGGCCCTATGGATAACGTAACCCGAAGCAAAATATAAGAATCTGTACATAGAGAATAATTCATCCGAATTAAAAGAATGAAGTTTTCTTCAGAACGTTTCCAAAAGATATTCCTGTGATTTTAAAAGTGACCGTCAAATGTTACCACATAATTAATCGTTATGCCGATTGAATGAACTGACGTTTTGAAAATTGAATAGTGGATTGACCTTAAATTTTTTTTATTTCATCTCTGAAATTGTCATACATATCTATGTGCCACTGATGAATGTGCAAAATATTGTGATAGAAATAAGGATCATTTTTTTATGATTTCTAAATCACAAACTCGTCTTAGATAATCATTAAAAATCCTGAAAGCATTGGTGAACCGTTTCGTCGTAGGAAATGACCCCTCACCAGTGGAAATTTACGACTTCTCCACTGAGAATCGAACCCAGAACCTTAAGTCCCATGAACAAACACTTAACCTCTAGACTACTGATCTGGCATTCAATGGTATTAATGTCTAACTTCAATCAATTCTAAATTTTGTACAAGATCGTGTATACACACTACAAAAGAGTCCCTTATTAGGACGAAATAGCTGTTCAGTACATTTAGGTTTTCTAAGATGGTCTAAGTAAAATCATCACAAAACTTTAATGCTGATAAAGATCACTCTTATTTAGCTCGAAAATATTATCACTATTGAATGAAAGTTAGTAGTGTTATTGTTACATAATAGTTTATTTATAGTAACACTCCAAAATTAATAGAATAAAGTTCTTCACGTGTAGAGTATTTAGTCATTCCAATATTTAAACTGGTTTTCAAAAATGTATATGCTAGTGATTGCTATTTTAAACTAATTACTTAATTTTACTTGTCCCAAGTTGGATGGTGGTTAGCAGTAGAATCCAAGATGCGCGTTCCATCCTATTTAGGAAATGTCAGATGGGTGTACTTGGATCGCAGAGTTAATGTTCACCCTAAGACTCAAACTCGATACCTTTCACTTCAAGTACCATCATGTTATCTAGTTAGCTATTAAGTACAGTCAGTTACTGGCCAGTACATCCACCTGATGAATGTACATCTTGGATTACGATTATAGCTACAATTGAAATCTGTTTATAGTGCTTGCTGCTTAATGGTATACCGAGACAACCCACAGAGGATGTACATGTTTTCAAAGAGATTGATCAATTGTAATCCTTGACATCAATAAGAGGATCAAAATAAACAATACAAAAATCAATTTTATTTCTTCAGTTATCTAAAAGAGTGCATTTATTGATCTATAAACAATTCTTACCTCTGTTTGATTATTCAATTCACTTGTTTCTGATTTACATGATAATGAATTTGTTAAAACTGATACATCATGACCTTGATTGATTAATTTTTTAAATTTTGAACGCCTATTTTGAAACCATATTTTAACCTGTTAAACAAAAATAACACAGTATTCAAGTAATTTTAAAAGTATATTTCAGATGGATAGCAACATAAGTTAATATTACCAAAGCTGATTTATCAATTATGACTCGTAGTTACAATAATAAAGACCATCGTTCTATCTACCATCTTGATTTGGAATAGAATAACTGTAATATAGTATATAGTTTTGTAGGGTAAAATCTTGGTATATTTAACTAGTCACTCTAAGTAGAGCCAAGTAGGCCTGTTTCGATGACGTCACAGTTGGGTGTACCTTCATTATAGTGTTAATGTTCTGCATTTAATTACTAATCTTATTAATTATTAGTCTCTTTTTCATTCTTTACATACCCTTTCTTTGCTTCTGTTTTCTTGTTGTGTTCATATTATCTCCATTCATTTTCGTCATACCGTTCCAATTCATAACATTTTATACTAGCCTTTTATTCTGTAGATGCCTCCAAATGTCCTAATACGTCCGAGAGTGGGGAGAGTTCACTCTCCCTCACGAAATGCTCTCACATGGCTACGTGTATATAGCCTCTGTCAGGGAATTCCTACTCACTGCATTCTCGTGGCGGGGGTTTTGTTTACGAAATTGAGAAGACGAAAAGCGAATGTCCGGCGCTTTAACCGGGTTAGTGGACACAGAAAGTCCACCTAGGGGAGTTGGAAAACCCTGATTCTAAACCAATGGTGCATATGGGCTCCAGTATCCTGATGGAACAAATGGCGTGTGAATCAATCGTTGGTCACTGGCTACAATGGAACGACATCTCTTTACGATGCTCCACTACCTTGTGGATCAGACCTTTAGGTCGAAGGCTCCTGGTGTGGCCACCTAAGAAAACCACCTGCTTCAGTCTGGGCACCTGAACAGTATCACAGCCCTCACACAAATCAAATGGGATTTGTGCGGCGCATATGTATCTGGTGCTTCCTTGTACCAATATTTATGTGTTCAAATAAATAAAAATAAATAAACTATTAATTGGTCAACAATACTGAAAATCTGTCACATAATATTTTCTAAAAGCTATTCCTTCATAGTATATAACTTCTTATCAGTGCTTTCATTAACATATACATCATAGGTTAAAATAAAAAACTTCAGACCTTTAAGAAAATCTATTGTCCATAGATTAATATGTTAGAATCCAACCAACTCTTGACTTGCGAAAACAATTTCAGAAGTCCCTCTGATAGATATCTGTTTCAAACCTAAAGTAGTTTATAAGCAAAGATGGATAGTGGCTAACAGTGGAATACAGGACACTAGTTTCGTCCACTGCTAGCCACTATTCATCTTTGCTTATCATGCTTGTGAATTAAGGCAATATCGAGGCGACACGCACAGTATGCACATATGCCAATTACAAAATGACTAGCTGCAGTCCTAAGTATCAATGAGAAGATTCAAACAAGCAATATTAAGTGAATTCTAAAGTAGTTTAATTCATCAAACCAAGTCTTCATACCAGATATTCAAGAACTCAGGAGGTGTTAAATCCCTATTTATTTATTTTGAGGCATTATTTATCACAACACTTTCCTGTCGTAAATTCTGCTTTTAATGTTGCTTTATAAAAATAGAATTATTCGATTATCATGTCCACTGATGAATAGGTTACTTTACTCCAATAACCAGTAACACAAATGACCGTAAACAATAACTCCTATCTGTCCAAGGAGCTTCTATTTCTAGTTGCCAATCAAAAAAAAAAGAGAAAGCAATAAGCAGATTTATCTCCTCTTATTGTAATATCGTCATCATAAAAAAAAACTCACAGGACTACACACATAAGTTACCTGATCACAACACACTACAAATGTGGAATCACAATAGATATGCGCATGACATTTTGGTTGTAAGTGATATAAAATTGAGTAACAAGTCCATAATTAATTCATGGTAATTTACTAACCATAAAACGTTTGACAACAGTTAATGAATGAAATGAAAGCTTACACCAAGATCAATATTATATATTTATATATATGCATTTATGCTGAAACAGCACAGCGTTTTACGGGAGAGGACAAACCGGCTTCAAGCTGAAGAGGAAATTAGGGAAAGACGTTGGAAGTGGATCGGACATACAATAAGGAAATCACCAATGTGCATCACAAGGCAGGCCTTAAATTGGAATCTGGAAGGGAAGCGGAAAAGAGGAAGGCCAAAGAACACATTTCGCCGGGAAATAGAAGCAGGTATGAAAAGGATGAATGTTTACTGTAAAGAACTTGAAAGGATTGCCCAGGACAGAGTTGGATGGAGAATGCTGGTGAGAGGCCTATGCTCCTCCATGAGGGGTAACAGGCGTAAACACATGGACGAGTTGATAATGGAACTTTACAGCCGTAAGTATAGATGAAATTTTAAGTGTTAATTCCTTCAAGAAATATGAACAACTAACAATAATTATGACGTAATAGTTCATAATATTTAACTTAATAGTGTAAATTTTCCTATTAAATCATCATATCTATTATTATTATTAGCTTTATTCAATATTATATTTTTGGTACAATATAGAATTCTCAGCACAAAGTACTTCAACAAGTTTCCGTTTCTTACTTCTTCGTCCTTCCTGACGATGAATATTGAGTGATCGCCAGTTAGAACTTAGCAGCCCAGTCAATCGACATCTGGATAATGTACATTCTTGTCGCTGCATATAGCCAGAAACCAAGATATCTCTGATTAAGCCTTCTGTAACCTTTACAGAGAAAGGTCTTACACTTTTCAGAAACGCACCTGAATAGGTTGTGCGATTAATAGGCATAATGATGTATTAAAACAAACGAAGTTAGATAACTTGTTGAAATATCTAGATGACAGGAACAGGTAGCCCAGATGTTTAAACAGGCCGCCAATGTTATCTGTTGTCTATCCGTTGTTCATATTTATTGAAGGAACTAGCACTTGAAATTCCATCTAGATACACTATTGTACAGTTTGATAACAAGAGATACCATCATTAAATTTTGCGTTATGAATGTTAAAATAGGAATTATGTAAGCCTATTTGTATAGTACATCCTGAAGGTCAAAGGAGAAGAGGAAGACCAAAGAACACATTACGCCGAGAAATATAGACAGACATGAGAAGAATGAACAAAAACTGGATAGAACTAGAAAAGAAGACTCAGGACAGAGTGGGTTGGAGAATGCTGATCGTTGGCCTATGCTCCATTGGGAGTAACAGGCGTAAGGAAGTAAATAATTTGTATAGTACGTTAAAAATACGTCTATACATTACACTAGATATGCATCGATTCCCAAGTAACCTATTTGTTTGGTTAGTTGACTACAATAATAATGAAGAATGAAAGTTTTCTTCATTTTAATCTTATACATAAGGAAAATGGAGGCATTTTTCTCCCCGTTTGTATTTTCTTTTAAAACAATATTTCCAAGTTCTAGTTCTTTCTTTACGCTTTCTCATCTCGTGTACAGTGTTTTCGAAACTGTGTGCACACACACACACACATTTATGTATTTACATACAGATTGCTTCGATACTTTCTAAGTTATGCATGATTGAACAAAGTTTATTCAACAATCACAATGATGATGACGATGAAATGTGGGAGGAGGGGAAATTTCCGTTGTCTCTTTGACTTTATTTGGTTAAAAGTATTAGTTGGATAATTATTTATTAACCATCCATCCAATCAGTCATCGATAAGAAACATGGCAGATATGGCAGCAATGGTAACAATAAAATCATACTCCTGCACATCCACACATACACACAAACACAAACTTGTTTGCATTCATAGATATCATGGTTTGTTTTTTATCTTACAAAGGAGAATCAAACAGTGGAATAAATTCCAAAATAAACGAACGAAAAAAAAAGAGAAAGATTCAAAAGGAGAAACTATATTCATTGAAGCAAGATCAAGAAGAATATCAAAGTATTTTTGATTATCTTTTGATTTTTTTTTGATGGTTGGTATAGATACAAATAAAAACTGACAAACAAACAACAATGACAACAAGTTACCTACATTAATGAAAAAAAAGAGAAAAAAAAGTAGTGTAGATGATGTATTCATGGGTTTATTATTTGACTCTTTGATCATTTGTTGTTATTTGTTTTTTTCTCAGAGAATGAGAGCAGGGGAGAGAGAGGGGAGGGATTGAAAGCGAAAATGAAACAGGTTTGTCTTAGTTTTTTTCCATTACATTATATAATGTAACTAACGAAGGAAATTGTTTCGTATTAATTATGAAAACATATTTTTATTTTATTTAGTTCACTGTGATAAAGAAAGATAATGTTAAGGATAAATTATTTTCATAGTTGAAATCATGAGTGAATTGAAGATAGACTATCATGAAAGACCTTGGAGCACTGGACGGTCGTTTCGTCCTATAATGGGACTCCTCAGTGGCAGTGCGCATCCATGATCCCGCACTCGCGAGATTTGAAGCCAGGAACTACCAGTTTCGTGCCAGATCATTTAACCGATAGACCACTGAGCCGGATAAATTAGTTTATAAAGTCTATTAGTGATTTATGATCAGTATAGAGCTTGAAACAAATATGCCTTGTCCCAAAGAGATGATAACAAGATGAATTTTAAAGTAGAAATAGTAGCCAAATCAAATTTATATATATATATATATATAAAGTAATGTTGCAGTAATGATAATGGGGAAAACTAATCTCTGAAAATATAGATCGAGATGAAGGGACACTGAGATAGAAGACCCAGAAAAAGATAAAGAGTGAATCTGTTTACACCTCTATGATTGATTTTTAACTGATGTCACTTGTCATCTCCAACGACTTATTGCGGTTTTCATATGGACCTCGATTGGGTAACGTAGATGTATGTATACAGCTCAGACTAACATTCACTGACTGTGTGAACTTATACCCTGCATTGATTTGGCCGCCCCAAGCTTTTTTGCAACTTACTTCTACACTAATTAACGTTTCCCGCTAAAGCAGGCAGTTGTTAAGGATATATGACATCTAAATCAAACACC